AAAGTTAGCGTAAATTTTGAATGATTCTTTCAATTTGGATGTCACTCTATTGGATTACCGTATAAGAAACAGCATTTTAGATATTATTGAAATCGAATATAGGATGAATGATAGCTGAGGGTTTTTCTGGGTTACTGTAACTAAAGTTAGCAAATATTTCTAAAGATTCTTTCAATCTGGATGTCACGCTATTGGATTACGGTATAAAAACGGGATTTTAGATATTTTTGGAATAGAGTATAAGATGAATGATAGCTGAGGGTTTTTCTGGGTTATTGTAGCTAAAGTTAGCGAATATTTCTAAAGAATCTTTCAATCTGGATGTCACACTATTGGATTACGATCAAACACAACACATTTCACGACAAGAAACGATCACGTCCATAGGACTCACGCGGAATTCGAAACTCGTCGAAATAAATGTACTTGATGCCCTTTTCAGGGACGAAGCCACAAAAGTTGCTAAATTCGAGCCGTAACTAGGAAAATACGTAACATATGTAAATTTTTATATGCAAATTTGGATAAATCCTCTTAAAAATGCAGCAATTAAAGCCATCTTTGGCTTTTGATTTCAGCCATTCGAGTTCAAGCTATTTAAGCGACTCTGCGTAAAGATATTCAGTTAAATTTTCGATTTTTAGGTGATCTGGAGCGCACACGAATAGTCGAGTCAATTAGTTTTTGCGAAAATCCAAATTTTGGTTAGTGGGGGGGGGATCGAACCGGCGAGTTTTCTCACACCAAACAAACGCCTAACGGCAAAAATTTTAGCGAATTCGTGCAAGCTGGAGCTCACCCTTGTGCTCAATAATCGTAAACCCTTCTCAATTGCCTGAATTCAAATTTTCGTTAGCTGAATCTTTGCTGAAAAGAAAAAAAGAAATTTGCATACATAGCATCCTCGGATTTCGCTCGAATATCTCGCGTTTTTTTCAGCTGCCCTCGTTTCTCTTGATACAAACGGCTCCAAATCGTCGAGTCTTTCTAAATCGTGGAAATTTGGAAGGGGTTACGGTAGATGAATTGGCGCTACAGTAAGCCGAATGAGACCAAGGCCGTTTTCTGGAAATTTCTTTATCTTTTCAAAATTTTCTACCAAATTTCGATCAAACTGGAATGCACACTAGGTTTTAAATGCAAATTCGCTTCCTAAAACATACTATAGTAAAGTGCTACAGTAAGCCGAATGAGATTAAGGCTATATTTTCAAAATTTCTTTGTCTTCTCGAAATTTTCTACTAAATTTCCATCAATCTGGAATGCACACTGGGTTTTAAATGCAAATTCGCTTCTTAAAACAGACTAAATGCAAAGTGCTACAGTAAGCCGAATGAGACCAAGGTTGTTTTCTCGAAATTTCTTTGTCTTTTCAAAATTTTCTACCAATTTTCCATCAATCTGGAATGCACACTGGGTTTTAAATGCAAATTCGCTTCTTAAAACAAAAAAAAGAAGCTAATCAATTCTTTTCCTTTAAATTTCTACATTTCCACAATCGGAATGCACACGGGTTTTAAAGCAATTGAAATGCCAATCGCAAATTTGAAACGCAAATCCACTTACATCCATCGTATTGCTTCGATTCAGTGATGTGGAAGGCACTCGGGGAAGTTTTCTTTCTGCAAGTTTCTCTTTTTCTCATTGCCAAGTGTGACATCCAGGATTGCCAAATACGATTTAAAATTCCGCAAAAGCTCATCAAAAAACCCACCAATGATGATGGACTTGTCGCTGTCTCGTCGCGGTATCCGCGAGACGCGCACCTCCGCGAAATCGGGCGCCCGCGCGGTGGGTGGGGGCTAGAATTTGAATGGAAATAGATTAAATGCAGATTTAAATCCTAATTTAAATAAAAATCTCAATTTTACCGTTTAACTGAATATTTTTAAACGTTTGATGTACAGCAAAAAACGAAATTTTTAAAAACCAATTTTTCCGCTTTTTCTCTTGCTTGTTTTATGCTGTGCGTTCCAGATCACGGAAAAAAAACCTACAATTCGACTGGGTGGCCGCGCAGATTGCGGGGTTTTCATGGGGATCGCACTTCGACGTGTGGTTGGGGGAGAGGACGCGCTTCGACCAATCGCTGGGGACATTGATGGAGAGGGCGGCTGAAATTTGCTTTGGGAAAAGATTTGCGAAGTTTTGCTAAGTAGTTTGCTAAGCATTCACAGACCTTATCACAAAGTCGTTTGACTTTCGGGGGTAGGACGATGCATGGCTGTGGTTGGGGTGGGGTTGGGCTGACGGCGATGCCGAATGATTGAGGGGGGAGGAGGGTCTGCAAATTCGTTGAAATCGTTGAATTGGTTGAAATTGATTGAAATTGATAGAAATATAGGGGGAAATTGGCTACAAAATGGCCATCAATTATTGCCTTAGAGTTTTTCGGCTCAGGCTCAGGCTCAGGCTCAGGCTCAGGCTCAGGCTCAGGCTCAGGCTCAGGCTCAGGCTCAGGCTCAGGCTCAGGCTTAGGCTTAGGCTTAGGCCCAGGCTCAGGCCCAGGCTTAGGCTCAGGCTTAGGCCCAGGCCCAGGCCCAGGCCCAGGCTTAGGCTTAGGCTCAGGCTTAGGCTCAGGCTCAGGCTCAGGCTCAACCTTAAGCTCAGGCCCAGGCACAGGCTCTGGTGCGTGAAAGAGATAATCGGCTTTTTGAAACTTAACTTTTAAAAGCTACAACAATTAGCTACAAGTGCTACAATAACGTTTTTCTACAACAACAACCTACTTTTGTTAAGAGTCTTTTTAAAAATCGATTTAAACCCGATCGCAACGTTAAGAAGCAAATAAAGCCAATAGATTTGATTTTCCAATAAACTTCCCAGCTTCACCTCTAAATGATCGGAGATCTTCTCATCGTCTGTGGTCGACGAAAGACTTTCACCCATCGATCGACCATCTTCTTTATTCTCCTAAAATCAAAAAACTCCTAATTTGATCATTTTCTTGGCTTTATGTTCCTAGAAAAAGGCCAGTTTAGCTTAGCTACCGAAATCGAACTCCTTTTCACCCAATTCACAGCGCAAAACTTTTTCTCATCAAGCACTTCGGAAACTATGGATGTCACTACAGCTAAAAATCGATTTTAGAAATCAATTGGTTGAAGAAGTTCGCGACCGGAATCGAACCCGGGTCGTGTGACTGCCAGCCCAGCTCGCTAGCCACTCGGCCAAAAGTGAACTTGTAGCTTTTGATCTCAAAATTTTTCTAGCCGCCTAGTGCTTTCCAGGATCCACCCTGGATTGATTATTAGCCTAAATAGGTCATAGATAAGGCTAGATAAGGCCAGGATCAGAAACAAGGCCAAGAATTTGGGGGTCTATCAGCTGAATTCCTGACTGAAAAGAGAAATCTAACGAATTCTATCGAGATCTTTAGATCATTAGGCCTCACCTCATTCAATTGTTCGGCTGGGATCGACGACACATCCGAGTTCGACGAATAGTCCGATGATGACATCTTCGAGTGCAACTTTTGCGAGTCTAAACACATTCTGGTACAATTATTTTTTCGATTTTGGCTATTCTGGAGTGCACACGCGTTTTTAAAACCAAAAAATTGACCTTGTTGTTCATCAATTATTTTTTCAGAAATCGGCTGACTTTCGAATTTCAAGATCTCCTCTGGTTCTCTAAAAAAACATTCGTTTTTGAGAGATTCCAATTCAAAAGCTATTTACTTGATTGATTCCATTGAATGATAGATTTGTTCTTTGAATTCATCTCTTTTTTGTTGTGGTGATTGGGGAAGGGCGAAGCGTTGTGTCGTCGACTCTGACTCGACCCGAATTGGCGGGGAAACACTAAGAAAATCGGTTTTCTATTTGATGGGATTTTCAAGCTGGAACGCACACTACAAGTTCTGCGCATTTTTTTAGTTTATTCACCAAGTTGGATTGAATTGAATTCGCTGGCGGAGGGAGTTGCTCCGGAAAAGTGGATGAAGTCGGGGAGCGGCTGAAAATTGAAATAAAAGGGTGATTAGAAAAGAAATTGAATAGAAATTGAATAGGAATTGAATTAAGAGATATCTGGAGCTTTCGAAGTTCTTTTAAAACCCACGCGAATCAGCAGAAAGCGACTCCGAACCGCTGCCCACCACTTTCCGCTCCAACTCGAGTTTCACCTGTTTTTAAAAAAATAACAATTTCATTTGCAAGTGTGACATCCAGAATGAGCTTTAAACTTTTAAAAAAAATGATTTACTTTATATGGAGAAGCATAGGAGAGGAGAGTGATCGCGTCGGTGAAAACCATCTCGTCAAAAGAGATCCACAAGCCGCGAATGCGATCACCTAGAAGGATGCTCTTAGTCAGCGATGTTCTAATTGAAATAGATCAGATCCAGGCGCCAGGAAACTTATTTTGGTCTTGACAAGGATTGTAGGAAGCCCCGCCCCTTTTCCCATTAGCAATCCCATTAGCAAACTTTGAGGTCAAATTTCTCGGTGTTGGGTTGTCCAATTTATAAATTTTTGGTATCATTAGATGCGCCAAGTCTTTTTCTATCGATTGATATAAAAACTATTGAAATTGGATAGCCCAAAGCCAAGAAATTTGAGCTAAAAGCTAGGTGAGAAAAGGGGCGGGGCCTCGCGTATAAAAGGTCGCCCCACGCCTTTCCCATTGACAATTCAACTTTGATTTCTGGATGGATTTCTTGGATGGCTTAACACCAAGAAATTTGAGCTTAAAGTCAAAGTGTCAATCACAAAAGTGGGCGGGGCCTCGCGTATAAAAGATTCGCCTCGCCATTGACAATCCAACTTTGAGCTTAAATTTCTCGGTGTTGGGTTTTTCAATGTAAATAGTTTTTATACGAATCGATAAAGAAAGACTTGGCGCATCTAATTATATCAAAAATATTCAAATTAAACAGCTCAACGCCAAGAAATTTGAATTCAAAGTTAGCTACTTGGAAAAGGGGCGGGGCTTTGAGAGCTTATATACGTTTTGAGAGCTCCTTAAAGAACCGCTGAACCAATTAGTCTGAAAATTTAACTATTATAGCTTAAATTTCTTTCTTTCTTCTTTCTTCTTCCTTCTTTCTTCTTTCTTTCCTCTTTCTTTCTTCTTTCTTTCTTCTTTCTTCTTTCTTCTTTCTTTCTCCCTATAAAAACAAATGCTTTAAAAGAGCTTTAACGCGTCCAGCTCAAACTGGTGTTTGATAAGCATTGACGAGTAGATTCAAATAAATTTTAAGATCACTAGTATAAGCACACAGCCCAGAATCAACCCAAAAGCTTTCTTACCAGCAAAAACATTCTGCGACTCTTGCGCTGGCCCTTGTGGTAACACATCTCTTATGTAAATCCCTTCACTCATTGATCCGCGCACAGAGAAACCCAAACCAGATAAATCTTTTGATTTCAATGCCACGGCTGCAAGAGCATCCACCTGAAAAAAGGTTTTAATTAGATTTAGATTTTAAAGGTCAGAGATTAGAATTTAAAGGTTTTTTAAAATATTAAACACATTCCAATCAATCAATTCCAAAAGAACAATAAAATAGATTGGGGGTAGCGTCGAGAAAGAAAGTCCATTAGACCGAAAGTCACGACATCCTAGCTAGCTGATTGTAGTAGTTGATAAACGATCTAATGTAGTAGTTGATAAATCACATAACCCAATTGCTCGACTATCGGTAAACGGTATTGGTAAACGACTATTGGTGAACGTTTCCAGTAACCCAAGTAGTTGGCTAGAAAAGATTATTGTAAAATTAACGAACTCATAGCTAAAAGCTAAACTAGACTAAAAAGCTCAGAGCTAAGCTAAACTAGACTTCAAGAAGATCGTTGTAAACCTATTGCTTTACGTTAAGCCATTTTTTAAGCAACAAACTCATAGATAGATCTTAAGAAGAGAGCTGTAAACCTATTGCTTTACGTTGAGCCATTTTTTTTTAAACCTAATACTCGAGTCAACAAGTCAACGACAAATGCTTATAACTAAAATTGAAAGAGCTAGATTCAAAGAACTAAATTGAAAGCCCTAATTCAAAGAGAAACTATTTGAAACATTTTTCAATAACCTCATTAACGTTTTCCGTTGAAAAAGACTTTTGTTGAGAAAAGTCGCTTTTACGCTTCAATTTGTACGAGTCGATCAGGGTGAACTAAACAGTTTTTTTCATTTCTTTTTTACTTCTGCATCCAATCTCCATCTCATTTCCTCATTCTGTCACTCACTTTGTCGTTTTTTTGCGCTTTCTCCGCGTCGCTGCCTTTATCAACGATTTTTGGAGCCTCGGTGCTTGTCGCCGCTTTCACAAGAGTTGTTTTTGCTGGAATTTCGAGCTTTCATCAAAATTTTCTCATTTTTGGCTAATCTGGAAGGCACTACGTCTAGAAAATCAAAAAAATCTATATAATTTTTCGATTTTTCTTTTCGTCACCTATAAGCTCTTAAAGTCTCGTAATTTGTATAGGTCGTACTATTATGTAAATTGATTTTCTGTAGAGATTTGGGTGATCTGGAAGTCACTACATCAATCGAAATCAAAAAATCGAGAAATTTTATAGTTTACTAAAAATTCTACTTTGTACAGCTTTGTACAGCTTTTCAATATGTAAAAATTCGAGAATTGAACAATTGACAGATTTATATTTCGTTTAAAACTATAATACCTTTCCCCGATCGCCTCAGGAAACAATAGAGCACGGCTCCCACCGATAAACAAATTAGCAGCGTACCGAAAACCGAACCGAACACCACGCCCGCTAGCTCACCTTGGCTGAAAATTGTTTCCCAATTGACTAGGAGGTTTTAAGATTTCACGGCTCGTCAAGCTGGAACGCACACAACATTTTGAAGCAGCTATTTTTTGTAATTTCAAATTTTTTTAATTTCGCGAAAATCTCGAACTTTCTGCTCGAAACGGAAAAATTTTTTTGTACTTTTTTTAGAATATTTTAAATGCAAAATTTTTGCAAGCTGGAATGCACGACACATTTTGAAAAGGTTATTTCATAGTGTTTCCAAGAAAAAAAAACCCCACCTCAAGCAAGTGTCAGCCATCGCTTTCGCTGTACATATCGAAACTATCAACGCGAGCCGCAAGTTCGGAATCATTCTAGCAATTTTAAATGTAAACTTGAGAAAGCTGGAATGCACAGGGAAGGGAAAAAAATTAAATTAATAGAAATTTACAAAAAATAAGATTGATTTGCAAATTAATGCAAATTTCATCAATGCAAATTGGAAATTGCAGATTTAATCAATGCAAATTTCAAATTTCATCAATGCAAATTACAAATTTAATCAATGCAAATTGCAGATTTAATCAATGCAAATTGCAGATTTCATAAATGCAAATTGCAAATTTCATCAATGCAAATTGCAAATTTAATCAATGCAAATTGCAGATTTCATAAATGCAAAATGCAAATTTCATAAATGCAAATTGCAAATTTCATAAATGCAAATTGCAAATTTCATCAATGCAAATTGCTGATTTCATTAATGCAAATTGCAGATCTCATCAATGCAAATTGCAAATTTAATCAATGTAAATTGCAGATTTCATCAATGCAAATTTCATAAGTCTTAAAAAAATCAAAATTTCAAATTTGCATAATAAAGTGAAATTAGCATTTAGAATATGTAAAATGACTTCCAAAATAAACAAAGAATAACTGAAAAGAGGTTAGAATTGAGGAGAAACAAGAAATATCAATGTGATAAGCATCGGCTTTACTCGTCAAAGTAAAAATCGCATTTTTCCAATCAAATATCACCCCAAAAGCCAAAATGCCTTCCAGATCGCGAGAATTGCTAAAAAATTTTCTGCCAAATTCAGTCACGAGGTGACAATTCGAGGAGCTACCGACTTTTAGTCGGATTTGGCGCGCTATCCCTTTCTTTGCCCGCCTTTGCCTCCCTTTTACATAAAAGTATACAGGTGATCGGATCTTTCTCGCTTTTTTTTCGAATCCCTTTCTTTTCTTTAGGGTTCTGTGGTCGTAGTAGGGTTCGTCGATTCGCCCCAAGGTCGTCCGGTGGTGGAGGCACAGTTAGTGTGGTTAGTGTTTTTTTTAAGGTCAACCCCTCAATCCCATTATCTAATGCACAAATGTGCCATCCAGATTGCTTGAAAGTTGGGGTGAAAATTTGGGAGAGCGATTTTGAGCTTAAATTTTCCACCAAAGTCGATTCCAGGGTCGACCTGGAAAAGTAAAAACTCTAAAAAATGATTGAAAGTTAAAGTTTAACGGTTTAGAGGGCGGTGTGCTATCCAGCTTGCTTGAAAATTAAGATGAAAATTTGGGAGAGCGATTTTGAGCTTAAATTTTCCACCAAAGTCGATTCCAGGGTCGACCTGGAAAAGTAAAAACTCTAAAAAATGATTGAAAGTTAAAGTTTAAAGGTTTAAGGTACGGTGTGCTATCCAGATTGTAGAAATTTGAAAGAGATTCTAGATGATGAGCTACCGTAACCCGTATCTGTCCGCGCACAGTATTTGCCTAAAAAGCCAAATTTTCAAAAACCGATAAAACTCAAAGTGAGTCACCGAAAAGATAGAATGCACTCCAGCTCTTCGAAAAATTATCTTAAAAGCTCAAAAAGATCAGCAAGAAAAGCCGAAATCGATTCGAGCTCAATTCTTGGCTGACTCTTCTCGTCAGCGAGCGCCCGCAGCGCAAAATCCGCCAAAATCCGCACAAATCGGCTTCATATCGAATTGACTGGGGATAAAAAGGCGGAAAAAGCTTTAAAAAGGGTTTACTGAATGAAAGCTGTGAGTTTTCCGGGAAAATTCCCCCAGTCGGATCACTTACCCAAGCCTCAACCACCCGCTGTGTGCCCCCGCCGAAAATTGGGGTCAATTTTTCGGAGTTCAGCGCTCATTTCGAATGGATCAGCTCGAGTGCGCTCCAGAATAGCGGGAAATTTGTGAAACTTCGAAAAATTGAGTCAAATAGGGCAAAAAATGTAGCAAAGCTTGTTGTTTCGAAAAACGGACTGACGATTTTTTTTTTTGCAGAAACGGATTGGTTTGGCTGGATTAGCTCTAGTGCCTTCCAGAACACTGAAAAATTTTGAAAATTTTGAAAAATCGAGGCGAATAGGGCAAAAATTTAGCCAAGGTTGTTGCGCCAAAAACGGACTTGTCAATTTTTTGCAGAGTTGCCTCAATTTTGACTGGATCAACTCTAGTGCCTTCCAGAACGCTGAAAAAATTTGGAAACTTTTAAAAATTGAGTTAAACAAGACAAAAATTTAGCCAAGCTTGTTACGCCGAAAAAACGGATTTTTCAATTTTTTCCAGAACCGCCTTAATTTTGCCTGGATTAGCTCTAGTGCATTCCAGAACGCTGGAAAAATTTGGAAACTTTTAAAAATTGAGGCAAACAAGGCAAAAATTTAGCCAAGCTTGTTGCGCCAAAAAACGGATTTTTCAATTTTTTGCAGAATTGCCTCAATTTTGACTGGATCAACTCCAGTGCATTCCAGAACGCTGGAAACATTTGGAAACTTTGAAAAATCTTTAATACAAGCCAAAAAAACGAGCCGAAACCGTTGCTCGAAAGTTGGGGTCGCGAAAATTTTTCGGAGTTCAACTGGAATTGCGCTAGTGTTTTCCAGAATGTCGGAAAGGTTTGAAGAGTTTAAAAAATTTGGCTTCTACTTTAGAATTTGTAATGGCTTATGAAAATGTTGATTTTTGAGTCGAATCCAGAGTTTCCAAACGGGCAATTAGTTCCGGCTGAAAATTGTGCGCTTTTTGCCTTTTGATTGGCAAATAATAACAATGATGCGCTTTATTGTCGATCGAAAAATGCGAGAAAAATGGTCGCCCACAATTTGCATGACCAGTTTTGAGTCAGCATTGGAACACGACGCTTTTTTCGGCAAAAACCTCAACATTTCCAGAAACGGTAAAATAGAAAGTGAGTTCTGGAGGGCACCGAATGAAATGGTGTCTGAAAATTTGGCAGAAGAAAGCTTTTGGAGAAGTGGGGAATTTGGCATTTTCGTTCGCTCAATTTTTCGACGAAAAACCATTTTCGTTTTCATTGGAAAACAAGAAATTCGACAATCCTGGATGTCACAGAAAATCGCGATACCAAAAAAAAAGCCAAAAAAGCCAACAAAAGCGAAAACAAGAACTCTCGATCGTAAACCCATCATTCAGAGAAAAAATCGCCGAAGAACCAATAAATTTAAAGCTTTTTTAAAAGCAGTGGAATGGTATCGAAAAAAGAGAAGCGATGATTGAGAATTGAAAGAATAATGGGGCAAGTTTTTTTGAGGCTCAAGAATGAGCCTAAGGATGCCTAGACTCAAAAAGGCGATCAGTCAGAAATCAGGCCGATTTAGCTACTGCTTTTGGCCTAATCATGACTCCCAAAGCCTTGGCCTAGGACCGGTTTGAGTCCAGTTGAAACACTGATGAATCGAGAGGGCTTAAACATCAACCTCAGCCTCGCCAACGTTTAAGAATTGCAATGGGTCTAATGGCTGTCGATCTGTTGATCTGTTGATCTGTTGATCTGTCGAGCTGTTGATCTGTTGATCAACAGATGGTCAACAGATCTGTTGATAATGATCTAAAGATCTGTTGATCTAAAGTTTCGAGCACGGTGTGCCAACAAGCTTGCTTGTTGGCACAAAGCGAAAGCACAAACCGAAGGTTACAACAAAGAACACTAGCTAATGAAAAAACAAAAAAAATCGAGAGCTGGAATCGAACCTGCGAGGTTGCGATCTGACAACGAGTGCTCTACCACTCGGCCACAGCTGCATAACGACGGGCCGGTTAAGAGGGCATTAAGAAGCCGCTAAGACCCAAATGATCAGATTCTCAGAGAAAACTTTAGAGACTTGAAACTCTTGATAGATTGTCATTTAGCAAAAAACGGAATCTAGATTCTGAATCAGCAAAAAATTCTGCGTTTAATGGTATAAGTTGCATAGCATTTGGCTGGCTCAAATCAGAATTTGAGCCAATCAAAAGTCGACGGGGTGAAAATAGAGCGAAATTTATGATAGATTTCTGAATAAAGTGAAATTTGCATATCATTTAGAGGAATTGCGGTTAGGAGAAAGTTTGACCTAGGAAATCACTTCCTAAAGAAGAAAAAGAGGGAAAGGGTTTCATCTTCATCGCCGAAGAGAACGGGAAAAGAAAATGACAGGATTGGTGAAATTCGGGTCACCCTCCGCCTGTACCCTTTTCTCCGTTTCTGATAAGCGAAATCTTTGTGGTGCCTCCCCAAATTGAGTCTTCTTCCATTCATTATCCATGATTCTCCTTGATGTTGATCCCTTTCACCCCCGTTTTCACTAGCGCTCATCCAATCATCGAAATTTAGCACCATTAGATGGTGCGAAATTTCGCTAATACAGAATTTGTCGTTAGCAAAAGTTTCAAAATGTGAAAGAAGGTGAAGGTAAGGGAATTTGAATGAAATTGGATTCAGTGCCTTCCAGATTGAGCAAAAAATGACTTTATCAAGCAAGTAGAGCTCAAAATCGGATGGTTTTAGTTGAGCAATTGAATCAAGACAAAACGGTGAATGCGAAAAGCGATGAAAGCAAGGAAATTTTAATGAAATTGGGTCCAGTGCCATCCAGATTGAGCAAAAAATGACTTTATCGAGCAAGTGGAGCTCAAAATCGGATGGTTTGTGTTGAGCAATTGAATCAAGACAAAACGATGAATGCGAGAAACGGTGAAAACAAGGAAATTCGCCGGCAAGCTAGGTCCGGTGCCTTCCAGATTGAGCAAAAACTTTGTCAAACAAGTACAGCTTAAAATAGTATGCGTAGATTTGCGTCGAGTTGCGAATCAAGACAAAAAAGGATTTCAAAGGCCCTAGAGAAATCTAAAACTGAAAAAAATCTAAAATCTGGGTGGCACAAAGCCTGGATTTACGGATAAAAAAGGGATAAAAGGAGATTTTCTCAAAATTTTTTACTATTTTTCACAATTTTTCAGAAAATTAGCGAAAAGATAGGTGAGATGAGTAAAAAATTGTTAAAACAAAAGAAAACACCAAATTCTTGATTTGTTTAGCTGAAATGCTTTCCAGATCGCTTAAAACACAACTTTAAAAGTCAACTTTATGTTGAAAAATCGGCTAGACTTGAGGGTTTACGGTTTTCAGAACTTGAATAGCTGAAAAAGTAAAGTGGAACAGTTATCACAAAGAAAATAATGGGAAAAAGCAGTTGTCGGCGACTTTTTCCCCACTGGAAAGCGATTGTGAGAATAAAAGAGGGAAAATGCGGAGAGAAAGTCGCTAATTGTTGTCAAGAAATGCTAAAAAGCACTAATTTACCGTAGTACAGTTATGCGATTTTTTCAAAATCCAATATTTTTGCGTAAATTCGTTAATTTTGAATAACATGACCTCCAGATTGATAAAATTTAAAAGCAAAACTTTTGTCGCAAAAAAAGAAAGGGTCGAGAAGCCTCCAGTCCTGCTAGTACAGTTATGCGATTTTTTCAAAATGCAATATTTTTGCGTAAGTTCATCAATTTTAGGTAACATGACCTCCAGATTGTTGAAATATAAAAGCAAAATTTTTGTCGCAAAAAAGAAAGGGTCGAAAAGCTGGAGGCTCCATAGTACAGTTATGCGATTTTTTTTAAATGCAATATTTTTGCCTAAATTCATCAATTTTAGGTAACATGACCTCCAGATTGATAAAATATAAAAGCAAAACTTTTGTCGCAAAAAAAGAAAGGGTCGAAAAGCCTCCAGTCTCCATAGTACAGTTATGTGATTTTTTTCAAAATCCAATATTTTTGTTTAAATTCGTTAATTTTGAATAACATGACCTCCAGATTGATAAAATTTAAAAGCAAAATTTTTGTTGCAAAAAAAAGGGTCGAAAAGCTGGAGGCTCCATAGTACAGTTATGCGATTTTTTTAAAATGCAATATTTTTGCCTAAATTCATCAATTTTAGGTAACATGACCTCCAGATTGATAAAATATAAAAGCAAAACTTTTGTCGCAAAAAAAGAAAAGGTCGAAAAGCCTCCAGTCTCCATAGTAAAGTTATGCGATTTTTTCAAAATCCAATATTTTTGCTTACATTTGTAAATTCGGGTAGTGTGCAGTCCAGATTCGAGAGATCTAAGATAAAAATTTCAAAAAGTTCACCGAAAAATGAGTATTTGATACTACGATCAGCACCCGTACTCTGGTTGGCGAATTTTTTGGGCAATACTCTAATCGTTACGCTCTTTCTCTTGCATGTATTCCAGCTTAGCAAAGAAATCGTTCATAAGCCTATTTATCAGGTTCATAATCGATTAAACAACAATCAACAAAGGATTGGAAAGGAAAAGATGGAGAAACATGGAAAAACATGAAAAAAAATCGGAGCACAAATCGAAGACGATTCATCAAAATGTGACATTGCATCCAATTAATGGCTTTGACAAGAGATGAGTTTCGATTGGATTTGGGGAAAAGGAAAAAAAGGAAAAGCGACGGATTTTATGAGAGTGATAGATTGCTAGAAGGAGGTTTTGGATAAGGGAATTATCGATAAGAGTTATGAAATGATGCAAAAGAACTTTGGTGTTACTGTCAGGTGTTTAGGGTGAGTTTTTCTTCGAATCCTTTTTCTAAACGTTTCTAGAAGTAAACGGATATGGACTAGAGTTTGGGTTAAGTTAGAGAGAGTTCATATTTGATATCCTACCATCTCTAACACCCCGACAACTCCTCCAACTCCTCCAGCTCCTTCAACTCCTTCAACTCCTCCAACTACTCAACTCCTCCAACTCCTCCAACTCCTTCAACTCCTTCAACTCCTTCAACTCCTTCAACTCCTCCAACTACTCAACTCCTCCAACTACTTCAACTCCTCCAACTACTCAACTCCTCCAACTACTTCAACTCCTCCAACTACTCAACTCCTCCAACTCCTCCAACTCCTTCAACTCCTTCAACTCCTCCAAGAGGAGAGTCCCTGTGAAATAACCGATTTGAACTACAGTTGCATAGACTCGGAAGATCTGTACAGTAGTACGATAAGACGAATAGATTGGGGTGAAAGGGGGACTCGAAGCGAGAGCCTCACTTGTCCTCCTAGGCAATCCCAAAGACCGCCTGCTTCTCGGCGATGAAAGGGAGCACAAGGGAGAACACATTTATTTAAGAATAGACAAATCATTCAACAATAACATTAACTTAAATATCAGTTTGACTCGGAGCTGAAAGAATTAAAGCTAAAAATTGGAGAGATTCGATGAGAAATAAAGAGAAGATTACGAGGAAAAGGTTTAGAAAAATCGATTATTCGAGAAAATTTACAGAAAATTGACTTTTTTAGAGTTCACTCGGTTATAGTTTTGATTCTGTTTTTGCTCTTTAAAGTAACAATGAGAAAGTAAAGTCCTAACAAAAAAAAAATTGATGTTAGTCACAACGGGATAAAGAGAATTTGCTGAAGGGTCACTCAACTTTAAACAAACAATCATCACCACCCATCTTGTAGAACACAAAAAAAAAGCGCTTCAAAGCAACCTGAGATCCGCGATAGCCAAAAATTGTACAAAAAATATGAAGTTAACCAATAAATCTTTTGAAAATATTCATTTAAAAAGCTACAGTCATTTTTTGCAAAAATCTTTTCACATTGAATTTTTGAATTGAATTTTTTTTCTAAAGTGCGCCCAGACTAGAGGTCTCTTCTCTAGAGCTGACTAGAGATCCCTTCTCTAGCGGAGTTCACTCTTCCACTGGGTTGGCCCATTCATGGCTTGAGGTTATTAAAGCAAGAAGCCTATCTTCTATCTATCTTCTTTTCTCCCCGCCTCCACATCGCCGAGTAAAATATCTCATCTTTCTCTATGTATTTATGTGTCGATTTGTGTATTGTCTGACTGATTACGCTTTATTTCATGTCCTGAATAAAGTATGAATATCAATATATTAAAATAACATACCTATATAAATGATGAGAATCGCGTAAACGAGCACAAAGGGAATCTCGACGAAATGCGTCTTTTCCAAGTGGGTCCACAGAAATTCGGCTACCTGAAAGGTGTCGGCAAATGGATTTGATTACCAAGCACAAGACTTGTTAGTCTAGATTTGTGAAATTATTGTAAGCTTCGATTAGTTTGCGTTTGAGTTTGGGTTATTTACTTCTAATGATAGATGTTAGTTTTTCGGAAAGAAATTTTTCTTGTTTTAAAGGTCTCACTGATTACGCTTTATTTCATGTCCTGAATAAAGTATGAATATAATATAAAAGATAACCAATAAATCTTTTGAAAATATTCATTTAAAAAGCTACAGTCATTTGCAAAAATCTTTTCACATTGAATTTTTGAATTGAATTTTTTTTCGAAAAAGTTTCATCAATTTTCTTTGATAAAATTCATGGCTATCTTTAAGATATTAATCGTTTTATTTACATAAATATATGTACAATTTATTTACACAAATCTCTATACAACACTTATTCATTGAGCCAAAAATCTATTTATCAAAGCATTCCTGAAAATCGTCGTGCAAAAGTCTTTTAACACAAAACGAAATTAAGCTATAATCAATATTTTGTCGGCCCTCTTTTTGCCAAAAAACTTCTTTAATACGAATAGGTTCGAGCAAATTGAAGGCGTTGCCTCCTGTGTTTGGCTGTCATCATAGACTTCAAAGCAGGTCTTTTAGTATACAATGCTGCTTGAAGCAAGCGTCGATGCAAGGTGCAAGCGGGAAATATTCTTGTTTGAATTTGCTTGAAAAGAATGGCTCCATGAATGGCTGTTCAACGTCAAATTCGGATCCTTCTTGAAAGCTCCCGTAAGGAATCGGTCTTCATTCTTTGTTGTAAACCTCGGTCGTCCCTTTTTCCTACATCTGTCCACATTTCCAGATGCATTCATTTTTGCCATAACAAGAGAAACTGTTTTGGGCGTACATCCTAAGAGGCGAGCAACGTCTTGCCTTGGCATTCCTTCCTTCCTTCCCTCGACGATCCTTTCTTTATCCGGAGTTGACAAGTACCCTTCTGGCATTTAAAAAAAATAAAATAATACCAGTAAATACGAAGCAAAAAAAAAAATAATAAAAATTTTTGCAAACAAAAGTTGATAATTTCAACGGGTCCACTTGTCCTCGTAATGTCAACAATGAATTCCCGCCAATATATTGAGATATTGGACAGATGTCTACTTCCATTTGCGACTGCTTCGATGAATCCAGAATGGTTTCTTTATCAAAATAATTCGCCAGTACACAAAAGCAAACTTTTGATGGACCGCGTTGTGACTCTTTCGAATGGAGAAAAAGTACATTTACCGGGATGGTTTGAAATCAATCGCGTTTCTTTAATCAAAGCTCCACCATTCTCACCGGATTCAAATGTTACTGAGAATATAGGCTTATTTGAAATCAAAATTGTGAGGAAAGCGATTCAATTGTAAATTGGAGCTATGGTTTTATATCAGAAATTTTTGGAGGACGATTGGATCTGGAATTCTTGGTGAATTAATTCGATGCCTATTCGTATTAAAGAAGTTTGTGGCAAAAGGAGAGCCGATAAAATATTGATTATAGCTTAATTTCGTTTTATGTTAAAAGACTTTTGCACGACGATTTTCAGGAATTTTTTGATAATTAGATTTTTGGCTCAATGAATAAGTGTTGTATAGCGATAGCGATAACGTTGTATGGCGATTTTTCTCAAGCAAGAAAAAGGAAAAAGGGACGACCGAGGTTTACAACAAAGAATGAAGACCGATTCCTTACGGGAGCTTTCAAGAAGGATCAGAATTTGACGTTGAACAGCCGTTCATGGAGCCATGCTTTTCAAGCAAACTTCAAACAAGAATATTTCCCGCTTACACCTTGCATCGACGCTTGCTTCAAGCAGCATTGTATACTAAAAGACCTGCTTTGAAGTCTATGATGACAGCCAAACACAGGAGGCAACGCCTTCAATTTGCTCGAACCTATTCATATTAAAGAAGTTTTTTGGCAAAAAGAGGGCCGAGAAAATATTGATTAAAGCTTAATTTCGTTTTATGTTAAAAGACTTTTGCACCACGATTTTCAGGAATTTTTTGATAATTAGATTTTTGGGTTAATGAATAAGTGTTGTATAGAGATAAAGTTTGTGTAAATGAATTGTACATATATTTATGTAAATAAAGCTATTAATAGCTTAAAGATAACCATGAATTTTATCAAAGAAAAACGAATTTGAAAAGATTTTTGAACATGACTGTATTTAGAAAAGAAAAAAAAGCCCAAATTCATCGATTGACTTTCACAAAAATCTATGTGAATCAATAAAAGATAGAGCGCAAAAAGTTAAGAACTAGCAAAAAGAATATAAGCCTAATTTTTAGAATAATTTGTTCAACCGATTTCTTTATAGTTTTTTTGGATTTGAATTTGCTTGAAAATTGATCTAAATTGTTTGAAAAAGGTAGAAAAATGAATAATCAAGTCAGGAAAAAGTCAAGAACAGCTAACAACAGCTTTCGCTTGATTTTTCAGCGTCAACATGCCCATCAAAGCACATCTTTGAGTATCCTGGCCAGCACTGTCCCTTTTTCCGATTGTCGGATCTGCGATTTTCGCATTTTTGCTCAATCTCTCATTGGCAACAGGCGCGGAAAGGCGGAAACGGACGAGAAAAGCATTTTTTTATGTTTTCGACTGTTTTGAGAGTCTGGGAAAGGGATTTCTTTGACTTTTTAGCTCTTTTCTTTCTTTCTTTTAGTCAAAAGCTGATGAGTGGCCGTGGAAAGGGACAAACATTTCATCTATAACACAATCACTTTTTCTTCATCACTCCTCCAACACTTCCCTTCCTCACTCCTCCAACACTTTCCTTCATCACTCCTCCAACACTCTCCTTCCTCACTCCTCCAACACTTCCCTTCATCCATCTACATTCACGTGTGTTCTTTCTATGCACGAAAAGCTTTCTCTATGGCTGAGAATTGTGAATTGAACTCATTAAAGGTTCAATTTAAGGACTTTGAAACAAATCGCTTTTGAGGAATCAATGAACAAGTAACAAGTCGAAAAACAGCCACGCCAAAAAGTATTCATATTCAATTTTACAATTTCTTTCATATTCTCATTTTCTCTTTTGTTAATTTGCATTTATTTTTCCTTTTTTTGAAATGCTAGAAAGTTCGGATTTAACCAACCCAAATAAGGAAAAGATTGTTGAAGCAAGGGAAAACGGGAAAAATGCTGCTTTCTTAAAGAAAGTCTGGAATTTGGCTTCTAAAATGGCTTCAAAAAATGGCTTCAAAAATGGCTTCTAAATGACTTCAAGACTATTTTAAATCGAAATCAAAAATTTCCCGTCAATTGCTAGTAAAATAGGCAAAAGACATTGCAAATAGTCGAGACTATTTCAATTAAATTGCTCTTTTGGTTAAATATTGTTAAAGAGAATAAATATTTTTATCGAATTCGGGGTTAAGACTTAGTTTAGAACGAAATAGTCTAAAAATTACACGGAAGAATGGGTTCAGGGTCAGCCTAGGCAGCCCAGGGTCAGCCCAGACAGCCTAGCGTCAAGCCAGACAGCCCAGGATCAGCCCAGGCAGCCTAGGACCAGTCCAGGGTCAGCCCAGGATCAGCCTAGGGAGCCCAGGATTAGCCTAGGCAGCCCAGAATCGGCCTAGGAGCCCAGGATCAGCCTAGACAGCCTAGGGTCAAGTCGGGCAGCCCAGGGACAAGCCAAGTGACCCAGGGTCAAGCCAGACAGCCCAGGGTCAAGCCAGGCAGCCCAGGATCAGCCCAGGCAGTCCAGGGTCAAGCCAGGCAGTCAAGATCAGGCACAAGCCGATGTATCTGGATCCTTAACGGAAATGCAACGAATGAGAATTTTAATGTTCCAGTATATGCTGTGCGCTCCAGGATCGACTTTGTAGAAATTTTTGATTCAACAAGTTGGAGTAATCGGTTAGAAATAGGCAGCAAGCAACTCGAATCTCTTTAGCAACATTGCAAAGCTTGGTTTACTCATCATTTGAATCTATTATTAAATGCTGTGCACTCCAGGATGATTCCTGACAAAGTTTCGAGTTTGGAATTGGAATTAGAATTTGAAATTGTTGTTTATTAAAAGATTTTCTTCAAAAAAAACATAAAAATCAAGACTTTTCTCTTTTTTCACTCGATTGTTTCCAAGTGGCCGAAGTCGAATGAGCTGAATTTGCATTTATTCTTCAATTTCCATACAAACTAATTTATTCTTTTTTACTAAAAAAAAATACACGCATCGTTTTAAAGACATTTCAAGCGACACCCCAAAAAAAATCAAAATTTCAATCGTTTTTTGATTATTTTTTTTGATAAATGAGCGATCTGGACAACACAGAACAAGCTTAAGACAAAAGAAATGCAAATTCTCAGACAAAAAAAAATTCGTTCATAGGCACTTTGCGGAGTTTTTCGAGTAGCTAATATACAGAAAATTGTCATTTTACGAAAAAATTCAACGACCAATCGACAGCGTGCCTGCCAGGATCGGGGAAAAACGAAAAAGAAACGGCAAACGACACTCCGTGACGTTTACTTGGCGGCCATCGGCTGTCGAACGACGCTCGTCGTTGTTACAACGGTTTGCGCCATCTGAAAGCGGACTTTTATGAATTTTTGGGCAAGCTGGATAGCACACTAGTTAATGGTAGCAAAAACTTTGGCAAGTTTTCATGATTTTTGAAGTCAACTCTTTGGTGACGTAGCTGGGCGGTTTTCTAGGGCTGAAATCGACCGGGAAAGTTTTTTCGTCAAATTTGAGGGCTATGGCTGTCACAATATTGATTGGATTTAAAAAACTTGATGGTTTTCAAAATTTCTGGAGACAACTCTTTGGTGACGTAGCTGGGCGGTTTTCTAGCGCTAAGATCGACCGGGAAAGTTTTTTGCATCAAATTTGAGGGATTTGGCTGTCACAATCTTGATTAGATTTTAAAAATTTGATTGTTTTCGAAATTTTTGGATTCAACTCTTTGGTGACGTAGCTGGGCGGTTTTCTAGCGATGAAATCGCCCGGGAAAGTTTTTTGGTCAAATTTGTGGGCTATGGCTGTCACAATATTGATTAGAATTTTAAAATTTGATAGTTTTCAAAATTTCTGGAGACAACGCTTTGGTGACGTAGCTGGGCGGTTTTCTAGGCCTGAAATCGACCGGCAAAGTTTTTTTGTCAAATTTGAGAGCTATGGCTGTCACAATATTGATTGGATTTAAAAAATTTGATAGTTTTCAAAATTTCGCACCTCTTGTTGAGCGGTCGTTGGCTCTTGTTGGGTTTCGACGATCGGCGATCGGATGGGCACCACTGAAATCTTTGGATTCATCAAAGTTTCACCAAAAATCCTTCAAATTCTGGGTTAATCGGGTAAATCGAGCGTTAGATTGAGCAAAAAATAATGCCGAAAAAAGTACTGCAAAGTTTTCTTTTTCAATTTTCCGCTTTGATTTCTTTCGAGCGCTTTAAACTAGGATTTTTCAAACTTTCACGAAAAATCATTTGTATTTTGGTGGGTTCTGGAATGCACAAAAGAAAATTGTTCAATGAATTTGATCAATTTTCGAAAAGTAAAATATTGGGTAAATGAACCGAAATGAGTTCAGAGGAAAAACTGGGAATTTTCAGCGGTGACTAGAGAGTTTTTTCACGGAATCTCAAAAGCTGGAACGCACTTCACTGTACCATCGCATTAGGAATTGAGAAAAAGACAAAACCAACGAGTGTACTGTGGCGCTGGGGGCGGCCATGAGACGTTTTGGACGTGCGTCTTGCTGACGGGCAGGGTTTTGTGAATCGACTCGACGGCTTCCCTTTCGCGATCCTCGGTCTCTGGTGGAGGCCAGACGACCGGACCGAGTTGGGTGCGATCTGAATGGAAATCGATAGAGGTGGACATGCTGGGGTGGAGAGGTGGATCAACTACATGCTGAGAAGGTTTTTCTTTTTATTCACAGCTCTAAAGTACTTGAATTATGCTGTGACATCCATAGTTTATAGTCCGATCATTTTTAGATTCATTGAGTAAATTGTTGAGCTACAACACCAGGTGGTTTAGTTACGCAATTTTGACAGATTTCTTAATTAGATGAATTTCAAGGATATTGAACGCGCAAAAGGTGATGTGACTTCCATAATGGATGATGCTGAAGTTTGGAGCTCATAGACTAACCCTGGAGTAGTGATCTTGCTTGGTTTAGTTACGTTATTATGAGAAAATCTTCAATTAATGAATTTTAAGGATTTTAAACACTAAAAAGATGCTGTGACCTCCATAATGGATGATGCTGAAGTTTGGAGCTCTATGACTAACCCTGGAGTAATGATCTTGCTCGGTTTAGTTACGTAATTTTGACAAAATCAAAATCAAAATCAAAATGAATTCCAACGATTTTAAACACTAAAAAGATGCAGTGACCTCCATAACTCATAATGTTAAAGTTTGGAGCTCATAGACTAATCTTAAAGACATTTATTTAGCCCGGTTGAATTACCCAAGCTCAATTCTTGAAAATCTTGAATTCAACCTTAAACTCAACCACTTATTTTCCTTTTAAACTCAATCAGAAATCTTTTCTCATTTTCTTTTGCTTACCAGCATGCGCTTTGGTGAGCTCGTCCTCGGGCGGTGGCCAGGCGCGGTTGATTCGCGTGGTGCGAGGAGCAAATCGGAGTACCTCGTGTTGTTCCTGGAAATTCGTGATGTTCCAATTGTTTCAGTTTAATTATCCCGCGATCTGGATATCACAGAAAGTATTGTGCATTCGAGAATCAGCTTTTTCCCACCTGTTGAATCCACGCCAAGTCGTCGCCGGTTTTCACTCGAGTGATTGCGCCGCTAAAAATTGAGAAATGTTCAAAAATTTTCTTTTTTTTGCCGAATCTGGATGTCAGTATAGAAGCTTTTAAAAAAATTGAGAAAAAATTCGGAATTTCTAAGAAATCGTCATTTAAACCGACGTTTCTCTCTGGAATTCGTCTTGTGGTGGTGGCCAAACGGCAGTCACTTTTCCCGGATTGTAATTCGTTCGCAATACCTCCATTTCTTCCTGTAAATTGAAAGGGTTTTTTTTCTGAGAAAATTGTTTATTTCAAAGTTTCTATTCAAGAATTCTCTAAAATTCGCTGAAAAATTTGCTCGACACGAGATTTTCGTCAGAATAAGTTGTTGCCTGATTTTTTAAAAAAAACGAAAATCCCATCTGGATATCACGCTTCAAAAATCAGAGCTTAAAACTCAAAAAAGTAAGAGAAAAAAATTTCATGCCCCCATGGCGCAGTGGGTTTTTCTAGCCACTCGAGTCAAGACTTCGAGTCAAAACGACCCGGGTTCGATCCCGGGTGCTGCCGGTAATTTTTTCTTTTTATTTTAATGAAGAAATTTTGAAGGGAAAGTTGTTTAAAACAATTTTAAAGGCTCAAAAACAGTTATAACTTTGACAAAAGTTCGTGAAATTTTTCAAAATTTGAAATTTCAAAACAGCCGATTTTGATGGGTTTCCGGGTCGAAAACATCTAATTTTTTATAAGAAAAGTGTTGTTTTTAAACAAATTTCCTGTTAATTATAGAAAAATCGGTTTCTTGACCATTTTTCGTCATTTCTTGACTTCGAAATCACAAAAAGCTCAAAATTGGAAGTTGGGTAAATGAGCTGGTTAGATTTTAGAGAAAACGACACCAATTCAAAAGTTTTAAACAAATTCAAGGCTCAAGCTGGAACGCACAGAAAAGATTGGGGCAAAGATTTCGGCAAACCCTCGACTTTTGGCTCCGGCTCAATTACCCAAGTGGTGAAGCTGGAAGAATTTTTCGCCTCAAAAACCCTCAAAACGTTTTTTTTCGAGCTTCATGACATCCAGGATCTTCAAAAGAGGAAAAATTTCCTGCCCCCATGGCGCAGTGGGTTTTTGGTCCAGCCGTTCGAGTCAAGCCTTCGAGTCAAAACGACCCGGGTTCGATCCCGGGTGCTGCCGGTAATTTTTTCTTTTTATTGTAATGAAGAAATTTTGAAGAGAAAGTTGCTTGAAGCAATTGTAAAGGCTCAAAAATAGTTGTAAAATTGACGAAAATTGACGCCAATTTTCGTCGCTAATCGTCAATTCTAAATCATTTTTAAGGAAGGATAAATGGCGTGTTTTTTTTTCGAAAAACATTTGAATCATCTAATATGAAAGGAAAAATTGGATAAAGCTATAAAAAGAAACTCTTAAATTTGTTATTTTTGATTTTTTTGATGAAATCCCATTTCCGGTCTTTCGCCATAAAGAAAATTAAAAAAAAACGTCCAAGATCTTTTCAAGGAAATTTTAAAAATGGAAATCAAACCGAATTCCGACGTTTCTAAGTCAACTGACATCCAGAAATGGTAAAAATTGAGGAATTTCCGGCTTTTAAAAGCCTAGAAACCCGGAAACGTGGCAGAGTCGAAACTTCGTAAACACATTTGGCGTAAATCTATGCAAAAATGCTAATTTCACGATATTTACCCAAAATGATATCCAGGAAAAGTAAATATTAAAGAATTTTTGTCTTTTATTACTTCAAAAACCCGGAATTGCCCCCAGCTACCGAATTCATAAATAGTCGCATCTCAAAAATACACAAAGTGCCCACATTAGTATTTATCTAGTGTGACATCCAGAAATGGTAAAAATTGAGGAAATTCCGGCTTTTAAAAGCCTGGAAACCCGGAAACGTCGCAGAGTCGAAACTTCGTAAACACATTTGGAGTAAATCCATGCAAAAATGCTCATTTCACGATATTTACCCAAAATGATATCCAGGAAACGCAAATATTAAAGAATTTTTCATTTTTATTACTTCAAAAACCCGGAATTGCCCCCAGCTACCGAATTCATAAATAGTCGCATCTCAAAAATACCCAAAGTGCCCGCATTTATTCGTATTTATCTAGTGTGACATCCAGGATTGATGAAAAATTTATTAAAACTTTTCTTTTACGAGAAAAAACCCGAAATATGCAGAGAGATTCGAAAGCAGAGAAATTCGTGAAAAACAAGTACGACTAATTACGTGATTTGAAAAGGAAATGTTTTTGCGTTGAACAAATTTCCGCCCAAATCCCTAGGAAACACTTTTTTCTGCTCAGATCGAACTAATTTTATGCCTTTTACGGGAAATCTCTTGAAAAAGTCGATTTTTTGGAGGTTTTGCGAGGCAGCGATTTATGCTCGACACGAGATTTTCGTCAGAATAAGTTGTTGCCTGATTTTTTAAAAAACGAAAACCTTCCTGTAAATTGAAAGGGTTGAGAAAATTGTTTATTTCAGAAGTTTCTATTCAAGAGTTCTCTAAAATTCACTGAACAATTTGCTCGACACGAGATTTTCGTCGGAATAAGTTGTTGCCTGATTTTTTAAAAAAACGAAAATCCCATCTGGATATCACGCTCAAAAAATCAGAGCTTAAAACTCAAAAAAGTAAGAGGAAAAATTTCCTGCCGCATGGCGCAGTGGGTTTTTCTAGCCACTCGAGTCAAGCCTTCGAGTCAAAACGACCCGGGTTCGATCCCGGGTGCTGCCGGTAATTTTTTTCTTTTTATTGTAATGAAGAAATTTTGAAGAGAAAGTTGCTTAAAACAATTGTAAAGGCTCAAAAACAGTTATAACTTTGACAAAAGTTCGTGAAATTTTTCAAAATTTGAAATTTCAAAACAGACAATTTTGATGGGTTTCCGGGTCGAAAACATCCAATTTTTTATAAGAAAAGTGTTGTTTTTAAACAAATTTCCTGTTAATTATAGAAAAATCGGTTTCTTGACCATTTTTCGTCATTTCTTGACTTCGAAAACACAAAAAGCTCAAAATTGGAAGTTGGGTAAATGAGCTGGTTAGATTTTAGAGAAAACGACACCAATTCAAAAGTTTTAAACAAATTCAAGGCTCAAGCTGGAACGCACAGAAAAGATTGGGGCAAAGATTTCGGCAAACCCTCCCCTTTTGGCTCCGGCTCAATTACCCAAGTGGTGAAGCTGGAAGAATTTTTCGCCTCAAAAACCCTCAAAACGTTTTTTTCGAGCTTCATGACATCCAGGATCTTCAAAAGTTTCAATCAGAGCCCCAATTTTTCAGATAATTTCTTGAAAAAAGGTTACTTCATGTAAAATGCAATTTGCGGGGGTGAAAATCGAGAAATTTTGGGCGAAGGGGGCTTTTGCGGGGGGCCGGGAGCTCTTTAAGGGCTCTTTAAGAGTTCCCGGCCCCAAGAAAAAGAATTGACCAAATAAATTGTTGTCTTTTCTCTGTTGGGAACGCTTTTTCTTTGAATTTTGAAGTGAATGGCAGACATTTTTAGAGAAGAATAGCTCAAAAATCATTGAGAAAACTTGTGTTTTCCTTTTTTTCCATAGCTCCAGCTTGCTCGTTTCTGCTAAACACGATCTGATTAAACAAAATATAATCCTACAATATAATTCTACAATACAATCCTACAATACAATTATTTTAAAGCTTTCTAGATCTGTTTTTACTTTAAAAAGAAATTAAAAAGAAAATCAACAACTTTTTCTCGAAAAATGACGATTGATGACGAGGATGATCTTTGGAAAAAAAAGTTTTTTTACTGCTTTTGATGAAAAATTAAACGAGTAAAGGGAAATGGCAGTGAGCAATACATAAATGATAAGGGAAAGAAGATGAAAACATTTCATTTCGAAAAAAAAAGATGTTCCTCTTTTGCGAAAACAAAGATGTTTACTGAAAATTCGACAAAAATTCGACAAATTTTGAGCGCTCAGCGATCATGAAGTCGAAAAGTTGTAAAATCGCAATTCTTTTTTGATGACATTGCCTAGTGTGCTCCAGATTGGCGGGCTCGATAAGTGAAATCTCGGAAAACCCCTTGATATTCGAGAAAAGTGGCCGCATTCTGAGCGCTGAGTGATCATCGAGTTAAAATGTTGCAAAACCGCAAATCTTTTTTGATAATCTTGCCTAGTGTGCTCCAAATTGGCGGGCTCGATAAGTGAAATCTTGGAAAACCCCTTGATATTCGAGAAAAGCGGCCGCATTCTGAGAGCTCAGCAATCGCCGAGTTGAAAAGTTGCAAAGCCGCAAATTTTCTTCGATAACCTTGCCTAGTGTGCTCCAGATTGGCAGGTTTGAAAAGTGGAATCTCAGCAAATGCTTTACTTTTCGAGAAAAGCGACCACACTCTGAGCGCTCAGCGATCGTCGAGTTGAAAAGTTGTAAATTTCCAAAAAACTCTTGAACTCATTTATAGAATGCGTTCCAGCTTGGTGAATTTCAAAGATCAAATCCCCAGAGGGAATCTGGTCTTCGAGGAAAATGGCTGTACTCGCAAGAAGTTTGGAAGGGTTCAATTTTTGAACTTTCCCGAGGTTCATTGCGTGATCTCCGGCTTTTTACAGCTTATCACTTGTTATTGGGGGGAATTTTTTTCCTCCTTCGCTGCTTAACGAGTCATAAAATGTTGTTGAAAGGGTTTTTGATTTGCCGAAAATCGAAGAAAGGGTGAAATCGTTCACTTAGCTCTGAAAAGTCAAAGAATCAAGAAATCAAAAAAATTTCATTTGAATTTTATTTTAATTTTCGAGTGATCTGGAGTGCACAGAAGAGAAAAAATTATTTGTTTTCAATTTTCGAAAGATTTTTCTTTAATCATTTGGTTTAGTGGGGGAGTTTTAGGGTTTTTATCGAAAATTTTATTGATTTTTAAAAAGCTGACAAATAAATAAACCAATCTGGAGAACAATTCGAAGATTAAAAAAGTGATTTTTAAAAAAATTTTGGTTTTTGGTTAAATGCAAATTTGAATGTAAATTTGAATGTAAATTTGAATGTAAATTTAAATGCAAATTTAAATGCAAATTTAAATGCAAATTTAAATGTAAATTTGAATGTAAATTTGAATGTATTAGGTTGATGCAAAAGTCTTTTTCATTTTTTTCGTACTTCTTTTGAAAAATAACAAAGTCATCAATTAACCTATGGTTTGCTCTAAATGAAAAGTGTTTATTGTTCAATTCCCCATCTTTTTAAGTCAATTTCGGTTCACTTTCAAGCAAATTCGAGAGTGAAAACGGGTTTTTCATAAAAATCTATAAAAACCTCTATAAAGAAATTGGCTGAATCAATTTCTCTGAAAATTTGGCTATATACCTAACTTTTTGTGCTCTATCTTTTATTTATTAACATCAAGATTGGTTTCCTTAGCTAAAGCGTCTAAAATGCATCATCGAGCCGTCGCCTTTTTTGACTACCCGACTTCAGGCTCTCAAAAAAATCTGGACATAAGACATTTTAAACTCGTTTTAATGTCATTTTGCAGAAAAATAATTGGCCTTTCGAATGCAATAAACCGTTGTTCAATTGGTGCATTTGTTACTTTTTAACGGAAGTACGAAAAAAATGAAAAAGACTTTTGCATCAACCTAATAAATTTAAATGCAAATTTAATGCAAATTTAAATGTAAATTTGAATGCAAATTTGAATGCAAATTGGATGTAAATTTGAATGCAAATTTGAATGGAAATTTGGAATGTAAATTTGAATGCAAATTGGATGCAAATCCGAATGCAAATTGGATGTAAATTTAAATGTAAATTTGAATGTAAATTTGAATGTAAATTTGACCGCAAATTTGAATGCAAATTTGGATGCAAATTGGATGCAAATTTGAATGGAAATTTAAATTTAAAAATTCAAAAATAATTTCTTCTTTTCTACTTGAAAACATTTAAAATTCATCAAAAAAAACATTCTATTTCTTATTTTTTCTTCTTCTTTTCTTCTTTTCTTCTTTTTTTTTTCTTTTTTGCATTTTCTCCTGAAGATTTCCTTTTCTTAAGCTTATTTTTAAAATCGAAAAGCGTTCAGCAAAAAAAACAACGGCTTTTTACTTGTGAATTTGATGTTGATGTGTTGCGTTGATGACAATTTTACGGTTTCCAAGCTTTTGCAGAAGCTCAACACTCAAATCCCCCACTAGATCTCGTCGTCAGCTATATTTTGCGACCCCACATCGATAGATTCTGATAAGTGGTTCTCGAGATTTCGAGGAATTTAGGCGACGCTCACGCTGCGCTACAATTAGAGAAAATACGGGAAAATACAATTCCCGTTTTTCAGAAATCCGTTTTCCGGTATTAGGCTAGCGGGAAAATAATGCGAATTTATTAACTTGTGCTTTTGGGAAAGTAATGGCAGGCAGATAAACAAAGAAAACCGCGATGGTAACAGAGAAGGAGAGTTTCTTTGCTTACACAATCATCATTACTCGAAAACATTGGTTCCTTTGTTATCAAAAAAATGAGGGAATAAAAATTGCTTATTCGAGCTGCTTTACTCTTTACTTCGAGCTGCTTTAAGCTTGGAAAATCTGCCCGAGAATCGCATAATTCAATTTCTATTCTATTTCTATTCTATTTCTATTCTATTTCTATTCTATTTCTATTCTATTTCTATTCTATTTCTATTCTACTCAGAGTGTGGCCGCTTTTCTCGAATATCAAGGGGTTTTCCAAGATTTCACTTATCGAGCCCGCCAATCTGGAGCACACTAGGCAAGATTATAAAATAAAGTTAGCGGTTTTGCAACATCTTAACTCGATGATCACTCAGCGGTCAGAGTGTGGTCGCTTTTCTCGAAGATCAAGGGGTTTTCCAAGATTCCACTTATCGAGCCCACCAATCTGGAGCACACTAGGCAAGATTATCAAAAAAGATTTGCGGCTTTGCAAACTTTTCAACTCCATGATCGCTGAGCACTCAGAATTTCTATGCTTTTTCTATTCTATTCTATTCGATTTCAATTCTATTTCTATTCTATTTCTATTTCAATTCTATTTCTATTTCTATTCTATTTCTATTCTATTTCAAAAGCCTATGGCGAAGGGAATATTAGCGAAAGTCAATGTCAATGTCAATGTTATCAATGAAAATTTTGTCGCTAACGGGATTCGAACCAGCGACCCACAGATTCTTAAGAATTTCGAGCAAAGATTGAGAGAAAATGAGCAAATTTATGTTGAGGATAAAACTTTTGTGCTTTGTAATTTGTAGTATCGGAATTTGTAGCTGAATTCATAGACGATTTTTCTTTAAATTGTCATGAGTACAATTTGATTTACATTATGCTACGACAAAAAAAAATTGTCTTCGCCTCTTTTTTGCAAATGTTTTCGATGCTGGCAAAGCATCGAATTGTGCAATTGTCTTTGCAATTGAAGTCGGCAATTGAGTCGACAATTGAAGCTATTTTTTTGCTGTCCTCTCCATTTTAAAGCCCTGCTTTCGTTTAAACGCTTTTCGAATTGAGTAGTTCGTTCGCAGACGTATCCGATCTGAGTCGTCGAACCTAATTGAATTCCAGAGTTTCTAGATGAACTGATAGGTGCCCCATAATATTGAGAGCCGATAGGAAAATGGGGAATCGAATCATCTAGAGGAATCGGATCATCTGGAGATGGGGAATCGGATCATCTGGAGGAATCGGATCATCTAGAGGAATCGGATCATCTAGAGGAATCGGATCATCTGGAGACGGGGAATCGAAGCATCTGGAGGAATCGGATCATCTAGAGGAATCGGATCATCTGGAGATGGGGAATCGGATCATCTAGAGGAATCGGATCATCTAGAGGAATCGGATCATCTGGAGACGGGGAATCGAAGCATCTGGAGGAATCGGATCATCTAGAGGAATCGGATCATCTGGAGATGGGGAATCGGATCATCTGGAGGAATCGGATCATCTAGAGGAATCGGATCATCTAGAGGAATCGGATCATCTGGAGACGGGGAATCGAAGCATCTGGAGGAATCGGATCATCTAGAGGAATCGGATCATCTGGAGACGGGGAATCGAAGCATCTGGAGGAATCGGATCATCTAGAGGAATCGGATCATCTGGAGATGGGGAATCGGATCATCTGGAGGAATCGGATCATCTAGAGGAATCGGATCATCTAGAGGAATCGGATCATCTGGAGACGGGGAATCGAAGCATCTGGAGGAATCGGATCATCTAGAGGAATCGGATCATCTGGAGACGGGGAATCGAAGCATCTGGAGGAATCGGATCATCTAGAGGAATCGGATCATCTGGAGATGGGGAATCGGATCATCTGGAGGAATCGGATCATCTAGAGGAATCGGATCATCTAGAGGAATCGGATCATCTGGAGACGGGGAATCGAAGCATCTGGAGGAATCGGATCATCTAGAGGAATCGGATCATCTGGAGATGGGGAATCGGATCATCTAGAGGAATCGGATCATCTGCAGATGGGGAATCGGATCTGGAGGTGGTTGCCGTTGACGAACAATGGGTGGATGACTAACAAATTCGTTCAATTCGTTTTTCCACCTTTTACCTTGTGGATTTTGTTTTGTTTTTGTTCTTGTGAAGTCATAAAGGGGCAATGATTTTTTTTGCTACGAGATTCGAACCCCGGCTTCAATTTTGCGTTTTGAGGAAAGAAAATGATACTATCGTCACCCAGGCAGAGCTGGAAAGATCAGGGGAAAGTGGAATTTCCAGTTCGTTTTTTCGTTTCCAGTTTTCCCCACCATTCTAGATGTATCAATTTAGCCCTTTCAACTATTTTTTATTCATAAATGCCACCTGACTAATGACTTCTTTCTTTATGACTAAAAAGAGGGCGCAAAAATGGAGTGGAGAGTAAAAGTGAAAGATTTTCGTCATAGAAAAAAGGATAAAAACTCATTTACCTGATTGACGGGTTTCCATTCTTGAGCTTTGACACGAGGCGCTGGCACTTTGTCTTTCTGGAAAATTTCCTTTAAATTTTGAACTTTTTAACATTTCTACCGGCGAATTGTCCTCGGGAAACTCGTTCCAAACGATTTTCTGAAAGCCCACCGGTTTCGCGACGATCGTTTTCTAGAAATTTTTTTAGTTTCAAGAGTTTTCATTGTACCACATTTTGACAGTTACATTTTCAAACATTCACAATTTTATTTTGAGCGTAAAGTAGCTTAGTTGTTAACTGTTTTATAAATGATTTATTGGAAATAAAAGTTAAAGATTGATAAAGATTAAAATTAAAGATTAAAATTATAAATTAAAATCAACAAATTAAGTCATCAAATAGCTCTAAATTTTCTCTTAAAAACTTGGATAAAATTCGAGTAAAAAGCCATTAAAAACTCTAGTTGAGATTTAAAATAATTGTTATTAGGGGTGGGTGGGTGAAATTGTCGTGAATGTGTCAAAAAGAACAGATCATAATCATCACAGACCAGGCAGCCCAGGGTCAAGCCAGGCAGTCCAGGGTCAAGCCAGGCAGTCCAGGATCAGACCAGGCAGTTCAGGGTCAAGCCAGGCAGTCCAGGATCAGACCAGGCAGTTCAGGGTCAAGCCAGACAGCCCAGGATCAGACCAGGCAGTCCAGGGTCAAGCCAGGCAGTCCAGGATCAGACCAGGCAGTTCAGGGTCAAGCCAGGCAGTCCAGGATCAGACCAGGCAGTTCAGGGTCAAGCCAGACAGCCCAGGATCAGACGAGGCAGTCCAGGATCAGACCAGGCAGTCCAGGATCAGCCCAGGCAGCCTAGCGTCAAGCCAGGCAGTCCAGGGTCAAGCCAGGCAGACCAGGATCAGCCCAGGCAGCCCAGAATCAACCCAGGCAGTCCAGGGTCAAGCCAGGCAGCCCAGGATCGCAAAAGGCCGACCAGCCAAAAGCCAAATCGACTTTGAACTGATCTGAATATTAAATTTCTACGCCCAAAACTCTGGCTAGCTAAAGGCTGACAAAAGTCGAAGTGCTATCCATGTTGATCGAAAAAGCACTCCTCGATCCACCCCGACCCTTCCCTTGACCCGCAGAGCCCCAGTCCCGATGTCTTAACTCTGACACCTGGCCCTCATTTCTCGAAATTGAGCTAAGCATTCAATTTTTGCGCCCAAAACTTTTAGTGCACTCCAGGATGCATGGAAAGACGACTGAAGTCATTTCTTTCTTGTCAGACTAATGGGATTACGCGACTAACTCGATTTGCGGTCTCTCAAATTTTCAAATCAAATTTTTCCCTGCGTTGACCTTGTTTTTGGCACGTGTGCTTTCCAGACCGAGCAGTTTTGAGATCAAAAAGAAATTCTCGAAATTCCGGTCGAGAATCGGGGCACCAACCTCATCACCGACCAGTACTAGAGCTGGCTTACAGGCTCTTGCCTGTTCCAAAGCCAACAGCTACTAATATTTAACCTAGCGTACAGATCCTAGGCTTGCGAATCCCAAGTGTTGTCATTCATTCCATCATCTCACCTGCACTTCGTGCTCATCGTTGAACTCGGGAATCGCGACTTTCCCCACGGCGGGCACATCGATCTCCGGTGCGATGCGATGCTGCGTTTGCCAGCAGGCATCATCCTAGAATTTATGAATTTATTGATATTTTATTGATATTTTACCAATTGATTTTCAATTTCTATACAGATTTTAATTATAATATGCTTACAAATTAGGGAAATATTACTTTTCAAAGAGAATTCGAAAGTAGCCCTTTTCAATCATCAAAATACCAGCTTAACCCATTCGAAACCGCAGCGTTTTTCCTTTTTTTTCGTCTGCGGACCAAGCCGAACATTTTTTCGCTGTAGCGGTCCGTCCCTGAGCTTTTGCTGCAGCGATTATTCGCTGTAGCGGTCCGTTCCTGAGTTTTTGCTGCAGCGATTATTCGCTGCAGAAGTTTCGAATGGGTTAAGTAAGGAATGGTTTTTCAGAAAAAAAAAACACATAGCATATTCGGTTTTTACTTCATAAACTGCTAAAGTGATAAAGTTTTTGCCTCTAAAATTTTCATAAAAATAAACCTGAAGCCGAATGCCGGCCGGCCCACGTTCGAGTGTCATGTCCGGTTGGGTTTCCCTGAATTTCAATTGAAAAAAACTCTCAACTGATATCCATCTTTGATAAAAATACATCTTAAATGCAAATCTTTAAAAAATTAATGCCATTTTTCAAGAACAAAAGTTAAATTCGAATTCGAAAACGTTAAAAAGTAAAGCCGGAAGCTTTTCATCGCTTCGTTTTTATCAATGACCTTTCGGAAATCGAAATTTCCGAGAAAAGGGAAAGGAAGTCGAATCGAAATGCGAAAAGTGGCAATCGAGTCGAGTGGCAATCGAGCAATGAGAAAGGGAGAGGCTGTGATTTGAACGGGCGACAATTGGAGATTGGAGAGCAAAGGCGGTCGACGTGTTAGCCATGTTGATCGAAAAAGCCCTTTTCGACTCACCCAAAACCCTCCCCTTGACCCACACAGCCCCAGTCCCGATGTCTCAACTCTGACACCTGGACCTCATTTCTCGAAATTCGACTAAGCATTCAATTTTTGCGCTCAAAACTTTTAGTGCACTCCAGGATGAATGAAAACAAGACTGGAGTCACTTGCTTCTTGTCAGACTAATGAGATTTGGCGACTAACTCGATTTGCGGTCTCTCGAATTTTCAAATCAAACTTTTCCCTGCGTTGACCTTGTTTTTAGCATGTGTGTCTTCCAGAACGAGCATTTTTAAGATAAAAAAAAGATTCTCGAAATTCCGGTCGAGAATCGAGGCACCAACCTCACCACCGACTCCTGCTCCCACTTCTGAGCGCCGACCAAAATACCGCCGCGAGCCACGCGCTGCTTCTCGGGCAGGGATTCTTCTCTGAAATTTGTAAACTTTCAAATTTAAAACAACAATCAAATTTAACGGACTACTGTAGCTGATTCCGGTTTCCACCTATTTACACTCAAAATTTGCATACGGAAATTAGCAAAAGTCGGAAATTTTAAATTGGATAATTTGGCTAATTTTCTTTGCCAGGCTACGCAGTGCGTTCCAGAACAGCTGAAAATTTAATTTTTAGCTTATAAACGTTATCAGATGGCTTTAAAAATGCTTGATCGACTGACGTTCGTCAACTGAATATCTTAAAGGTTTTTTTGTAATTGGAATTGAATAAATTTCTTTGCTAGGCTATCCAGTGCGTTCCAGAATAGCTAAAAATTTAATTTTTAGCTGATAAACTTTATCAAGTGGCTTAAAAGTGCTTGATCGATCTTGATCGATCACTCGTCCGTTAACTGAATATCTCAAAAGCCTTTTGTTTTCCCCAGCCAACTGTTCCTTTAAGGCCTCATCAATAACGACACTCAGATGAAAGAAATCACGAAAAAAAAACAATGCTATGGATAACAATAGGCCGAAATATTGGACTAACCTACTGATTGACTGAATATCTTTTAGCTATAGTTCTTTTAGTCATTTAGATGGATTACGGTAGTCAAAAGGTCTATATATCTATTTGGTTTCAATTTTTGTGTAAAACCCGACTTCTCAACGAAACGCTTCTCGACATCGGTCTGCTTGACGGTCGGGCGTTGAGCGTTCACGCCTGAAAATTTCATTTTAAAGCAAACAACTTCCTAAGCGTTTCAAATTTCGTCCTGATATCCAGCTTTTCGTTTTCGGTTAGAATTTTGAGCAAACTATCACAAAAACCCCAACCAGCTAGCGCGGCGGTGTGCACCGGGTGGAGTGGCGCATCGGACATCGATGACTCTTGAGCCTGAAATGTTTTTATTTTGCTATTGTGCCCTCCAGATTGTCGGATTTTGTGAAATCGATCGAAGTTCATCGTGTCCAAAGCAACATTGGAACCGTATTGGAACCGTATTGGAACCGTAATGGAACCGTATGGGAATCGTATTGGAACTGTATTGGAACTGTATTGGAACTGTATTGGAACTGTATTGGAACCGTATTGAAACCGCATTGGAACCGTATTGGAACCGTATTGGAACCGTGTAGGAACCGGATTGGAACGGTATTAGAACCGTATTGGAACCGTATTGGAACCGTATTGGAACTGTATTGGAACCGTATTGGAACCGATTTTATTTCGCTATTGTGCCCTCCAGATTGTCGGATTTTGTGAAATTTAGCGTAAATTTTCATCAAAATCTTCAAAATTTAAGGGTAAACTCGTTACGGGGAAAACTTCTTCGAAAAATTTCGGAAGAATCGTTTCAAAATTTGCATTTATATTTTCATGTGCACTCCAGCTTTCCGAGCTACGGTGAAATTGATTAAAAATCTTTAAAAGTAGTCAAGATTTATGGGTTTACTTTTTCGAGCTTGCTTTTATGTTTTTTATGATCAGCGTTAGCGTTTTTTATGATCAAAAAACCCTCTAAAAAGCCGTTTCTCTTTTTCCCCTTTTCCCTGAAATCAAAATGATTCAATTGATTCTCGCAATGAAAGAAAAATGAAAGAAACTTTACACTTTTCACCCCAACGCAAATCGACTCAAAAACAAAGGGAAAGGGAGGAAGAGAGAGCTTTCATTAGAGACATCGCCAAATCTTCCAAACAAACACGTTTACAAGCTAGATCCGCGTTTTGGGGATTCAAAAATCGAAAACTTTTGTTTTTGGATATCACACTACCTGGTGGAAATTAATTATAGGTGAAAAAACGAGAATAAGCTTCGTTGACTTTAGGGAAATTTGTGTTTTTGGGTAAAAGTCCGAAATTCTTATCTCAGCTTGTTATATGCCTTCCAGATCGGCTAAATTTGCACCTAGAGCTGCGTTTGATATAATCTGTACAAAGCTTGGTGCGATATTCGTTTTTCCCAGCTACAAACCTTGGCCGTTTGCTTCAAAGCGGTGTTGCCGGGCACGGTGGCGGCGGCGCCTTTGATCGCTTCCGGTTGCTGAGCCTGGGCGGGCAGTTTACCTAAAGTTTACTTAGGCTTAGCTTAGGCTTGGTTTTGGCTTGGTTTAGGTTTGGCTCAGGCTTAGGCTTAGGCTTGGACTTAGTGCCAAGGCTAGCGGCTAGCGCCTCGCACTAAGTCTATTTGAATTTGGGCTCAACCCCCATTTTCTGGATCTCGGCCAGTTCTCAGAGCTAAGGAACAAGCAATTGCCTTTGTGCTTTGGTTAGGCTTAGGCTTGGCTTCGACTTAGGCTTAGGCTCAGGCTTGACTGAATCTGAAGGAGTGGTGTTAGCCTAGCTGGGCAGGCACAATTTTGTCTTCAAGACACTTTTCCTGGAGTATTTTTATGCTTAGATCCCGAAAAACAAAACGAGAGCTTGAGAAAAGCCGTACAAGTCGAGTTTCGGGGCATCAAAGTGCCGCTTCTTTGGCCAACGAAATTTGGTGCAAGGCTTTTTGACTTGTAGATGACTTGCTACACTACCATAACCCAGCCTTGGCCTTCTACCGTACGTCTCGTTCTCTAAAGTTTATCAAAATCTATTGAACTCCAAAAATGTAGCCAATATTCTCAGTTTTTTTTTGAAATCAAACTTTAAATTTAAATTTAAATGACTTAAAAGTGCTTTTACACTCTTTTACAAACCCTCGATTTTTGCCGTTTTTTTTCTGGAGATGCTGGTGGAAATGCTGGTAAAAAAATGTGTAAAATGATTGGTTTTTGCCATTTTTCTATCAGATTCTGGGTCAAATTGGCTAAAAGAAAACCTTAGCTAGTAATTGAAAACATTCTTTCAGCAGCCAGCTTGCAAAACGAGATTCTAGGGTGAACCTCTACATCACTTTCGGTGCAGAGGCGTTTTTTTTGGAGGACAGGGAAACGGGCATGAGTGATGCCTATCCAGTGCGTTCCAGAATAGCTAAAAATTTAATTTTTAGCTGATAAACTTTATCAAGTGGCTTAAAAAGTGCTTGATCGATCTTGATCGATCACTCGTCCGTTAACTGAATATCTCAAAAGCCTTTTGTTTTCCCCAGCCAACTGTTCCTTTAAGGCCTCATCTAAGCCTAGGCATCACTCAAAAACTAGAAGATCTCTTTTAAAATCATTACAATTTTTAGAAACTACAGAATATTAGATAGATTTTTGGATATGAGTTTAATAGGTTTTCGATAAATGCGGCATCATCTACGAGTGAAAAACCAAAAGTCAAATTTCGTTGGCCAAAGAAATCCCCGAAAGAAATCCACTTCGAATCCCCGAAACTCGAGTTGTGCGCCTTTTCTCAAGCTCTCGCTTTGTTTTTCGGGATCTAAGCATAAAAAAAACTCCAGAAAAAGTGGTTTTGAAGACAAAATTGTGCACTTGGATATGAGTTTAATAAGTTTTCGATAAATGCGACATCATCTATAAGTCAAAAACTTCAGGCCAAATTTCGTCGGCCACCCTGTAGATGTTTGTTTGTGGAACTACTTTTGTAAGACGATTAAAATTGCGCTCGCATGTGTGAATTGTGCCATTTGCAAAGAAGTTTGCAAAGAAGTGAATTGTGCCATTTGAATGTACTCCGTTTTGGATGTACTCCGTTTTGAATGTACTCCGTTTTGAATGTATTCCTTTTTACGAGTGAAAAACCAAAAGTCAAATTTCGTTGGCCAAAGAAGCGGCACTTCGAATCCCCGAAACTCGAGTTGTACGCCTTTTCTCAAGCTCTCGCTTTGTTTTTTGGAATCTACACATAAAATTATCCCAGAAAAAGTGTTTTGAAGACAAAATTGACAATGACAATGCCAATGAAATCAATGACAAACCTGGTTCCTTTATCGGTTGCTTGACTGAATGGCTGGTCGCTTGTGAGTTCAATGTGGCCTCCTGGGGCTTCGCTGCTGGCCCTTTCGTCAATTGTTGTTGTTGTTGTTGTTGCTGAGGCTAAATTTTCATTTATTTAAATTTCCAGTCATTCTCTTGTGTATTTAAATGGAAATTTCGTTGTCACAAAGGCATTTACGAGTCGAAGTCAGAAAATTCGAGGGATACCAGAGCAACAAAAAGATTTCATTTAAAATTTCTCTATTCTGGATGTCATACTATTCGTTTAGTTTGAGAAAATCGATTTTTAAAGTATTTAAAAATTTTTTGAAAAAACCTGTTGTTGAGCGGTTTTTTGGGCTTGTTGGGCTTGTTGTTGAGCCTGGAAATTTGAATTTTTAAATAAACATTTAAAAAACGAAACAATTTCCTTACTTGTTTCTGTTGCTGTTGTTGCTGGGCAAGAGTTTGAGCCTGTAAATTCGAATTTTTCGCTTTCAACTTTTTTCAACCTTTGCTTGTGCCTCTTGCTGAGCCTTGGCGCGAGCTTCGGCGTCAGCTTTTGCCTGAAAATCGTTTGTTGAATTCGAAATAGATCTGTAAGATTGTAGATTATCCGTGTAAACTATTGATTACTTAATTTTTACACAGTTAGTACGATAAGTACAGCTAAAATCATGAATGTGATCATGTTTCCAATCAGAATGAGGTCAAGCTGGGATCGAATTTGAGTCTTAGCGGGGTCTTAATGGTCGTCTTAACCCCCGCATGCAGCCGTGTCCGAGTGGTAGAGCGTCTGGCTTTCAAGAGCCAGAGCTCACGAGTTCGATCTCGGCCTTGGACCTTTTTTGCTAAATGACAATCTGTCCAGAGTTTCTAAAGTTTCTTCTGAAAATTTGGTCAAGCTGGGATCGAATTTGAGTCTTAGCGGGATGTTAATGGTCGTCTTAACCCGGGGGGTTCGCCTGCAGCTATGGCCGAGTGGTAGAGCGTCTGGCTGTCAGGAGCCAGAGCTCACCGGTTCGATCCCGACGCCGGCCTTGGACTTTTCTTTTGCTTTTTTTTAACAAGTGTTGACAGGCTCAGCAAGTTGAGCATCTCTTCTCTGTCAATTTGCAATTCAATAAACTTCTCGTGTTTTGGTCGACCTTTGCTTGCGCTTCTTGCGCTTGCTTCTGAGCAGCTTCTTGACGAGCTTTAGCATCAGCTTGAGCCTGAAAATCAAAAATCAAATGGTTAAAATCTCTGTTGACATGTATTATTCATCGATTTCTAATGAAAATTACATCAAAAGATTAAGAAACTTCTCATTTTTTGACCAACCTTTGCTTGCGCTTCTTGCGCTTGCTTCTGAGCAGCTTCTTGACGAGCTTTAGCATCAGCTTGAGCCTGTAATAAATGATTTGTTTATTAAACACTCTTTTAAGTTCATTTTCAATTGTATTTAGTTGAGAAGAATGAAATGGCTGTTGAAAATCAAAGAAATTTCGATTTCTTTTCGGTTTATTTTTGGTCATTTCAAGTGTAAATTTTGAAAAATCGATAAATCCAAAAATTTCTAAAGTTTCAGAAACTTCTCATGTTTTGGCCGACCTTTGCTTGCGCTTCTTGCGCTTGCTTCTGTGCAGCTTCCTGACGAGCTTTAGCATCGGCTTGAGACTGAAAGATATCAAAAAATTATCTAACAATGAGTTTCTAACTCTAACAATCTAACCCACCTTTTCCTGTGCCTCTTGTGCCTGTTTCTGTGCAGTTGCTTGTCTGGCTTGTGCCTCGGCTTGTGCTCTTGCTTGGGCCTCTTGCGCTTGCTTCAATGCCGCTTCTTGACGAGCCTTTGCCTCAGCTTGAGCCTGAATTTTGAGTACACTATGATTAAATAGAGCAGAGCATGGTTGATTGTTGATTGCTGATTGCTGATTGCTCTATTGTTGATTGCTGATTGCTCTATTGTTGATTGCTGATTGCTCTATTGTTGATTGCTGATTGCTCTATTGTTGATTGCTGATTGCTCTATTGTTGATTGCTGACTCTATAACTTTATCCTTTGATCTCTTTGTTCAACTTATTTCTTTAAAAGCTTTCTTTTTTTACAAAAAACCTCTTGTACTCTAGTTATTTTTCAATTAAATTTAAACTTTTTAAAGAAAAACATTTCATGGTCAGCTTTGTGTCAATCAAAATTCGTTTACTCGCTTTTGGATTTCAGTTTTTAGCATTTCTATTAAGAAAATTTTGCTATTAGATGTTTCTAAAAGAGAATCAGAAAATCGAATTCGTTTTGATTCAATTTGAATCGAAATTTCTCAGTCTAAACCAACGCAATCCGATTTTGATAAAATTCCCAAAAGGAAAAGCAGATCTATTCTAAATATTTTCCAAGAATATAATCACATTTATTAGCGGTACATTTCGGTTATACCCCCACCACCCAAACAAATGCTTCGCTACTGAAGTGGCTAATCGGAGTACGAAGACGCTCGTTGACAAGTTTTTGGAATTTATCACCCGGATCGATGATTTGCAGGTTGGTGAAGTTAAAAACCTCTGCGGAACTGGCATTAGGCTAGGCTAAATTCACGCAGACTGTTGTGAGTTTAGCCTAGTCTGATATCAAAGGTCTTTAACGTCAAAAACCTCTGTCGAACTGGCATCAGGCTAAATTCACAACAGTCTCAGTGAATTTAGCCTAGTCTGATGCCAGTTCGGCAGAGGTTTTTGATGTTAAAGACCTCTGCCGAACTGGGCCTGGCCGAACTGGTCAGGCTGAATTCACCCAGACTGTTGTGAGTTCAGCCTAGTCTGTTATCACTTAGGTCAGAGCTTGATATCAGAGGTCTTTAACGTCAAAAACCTCTGCCGAAATGGCATCAGGCTAGGCTAAATTCACAAATACACATATTGATGCATGGGAGGTACCGCATAGTACCGTTTTTTTCAATTTTCGAGTGGCGGAGGTAGCGGGAGTATAACCGAAAAGTGCCTTATTAGCTTTTTTTCAACTTATTAGCTTATTAGCTCCTCACCCTAGCCTGCGCCTCTTGTGCTTGCTTGAGTGCTGCTTCTTGACGAGCTTTGGCTTCTTCTTGCGCCTGAAAAATGGCTTGTAAATAAAAGGGTTTAAGACCAAAAACAAAACAAAGACCAAAAACAACAAATTCTTGCAAAAACCCCTCACTTTTTGTTGGGCTTCTTGTGCTTTTTTCAACGCTTCTTCTTGCTGTTTTTTGACGGCCATTATCCTCTCCTCGGCCGCTTTCCTCTCCGCTTCGGCTTCAGCTTTTGCCTAAAACAAAAATTCGATATAAATCCGGTTACAGGAATCCTAAACAACACGAGAGTAAGCCATTCAGTTTTTGCGAAAAACAATCTACAGTAATTCCCATTCAAACCTCTTGCATTTTCGTCTCGGTGTCGATGGCCTGTTAAGATTTGGGTAAATAATTCAATTTTTAAAGTTAAATGCAAATTTAACGGATCTGGAAGGCACAGCTTTGAATCAAAACAAAAATTCAAAGTCTAGAAGGTTTTGGGTTTTTTGGGTTGACCCCCGAATCGATCGTCTATCAAAATTTTCGTTATATCATGGTAATTTTAAAAGTTAAATGCAAATTTAGCAGATCTGGAAGGCACAGCATTGAATCAAAATAAAAAAGCTAAAGTTTTTCCAAACTAAAAGATCTACAAGTTTTTGGGTTGACGCCGATCGATCGTCTAACAAAATTCTCTCGTTATATAATTGTAATTTCTAAAGTTAAATGCAAATTTAGCAGATCTGGGAGGCACAGCATCGAATTAGAACAAAAATTCAAGGTCTAGAAGTTTTTGGGTTTTTTGGGTTAACGCTCGAGTCGATCGTCTATCAAAATTTTCGTTATATAATGGTAATTTTAAAAGTTAAATGCAAATTTAGCAGATCTGGGAGGCACATAATAACTTGAGAGAATAAAATTTATGATATATGCAAATTTTTGAAATTTCGATTACCTCGGTGGGTTGACGAGCGGCCGCCGCTTGTTGCATGGCCAACGCCTGGGCTGCCTAGAAAGTGATGAGCTTTTTAGATGTAGTGCGTTCCAGATCAAGCTTTCCTTCAATCCCTAGGATTTCCCACTGACCTGTGCCTGTTTCTGGGCCTCCAACAGCTTCTGGCGTTCCTCCAACGCTCGTTTCTCCGCGTCGCTCTTCTCGGTTTGTTGAACGGGCGCAGCTACGGCTTCGGCTAAAAAAATGAAAGGTTTTTGTCAGAAATTTGAATATTTTACCCTGTGTGGTGACTTGTTTGATCTCCTCGACAATTTGCGTTTTCGCTTCTTGCGGCGTTGTGGTTGGAGCAGCCGGCTGAAATGAGAAAATCATTAAAAGAATCAAAGATCCCAGAAAGCGTGCGTTTACAAGAGCACAAAGTACGGGGCAAAGTCCACTCACCTGTCCAGCAATTCGAAACATGGCTCTTCGCGGGGGTGGAGCTGGCTAAACGCTGGTGAAGTTAATGAAGCCGAAAAAATCGTTCCCTTTAGCTATTTTTCAATTTCTCTAAAATCTTTCCGGATTCTGGAGCGCACTTGATCAAATGTTGTTAAAATTTTTCGTAAAAGATCAAAAATGAAATTTGGAAACAAAGGGCGGCACTTTGAAGTGTCTCTGAAAAGGAAAAAGGTAAAAAATTCGAAAAGAATGGTATCCATTTCTTTTCTTTACCTTTTCTTTTTGCCTCTCAATCCCCTCAATCCCAGGTCGATTACCCATCCAAACAAACAAATCCACCGCAATTTCTGGGCAAGAAAAAAAAACGAGAACGGGGTTACAAAAAAAATCTCAAAATTTTTCGATAAAATTTTTTGATAAAATTTTTTTTAAAAATTTAACTTTGAAAACTTTTTAAAACTCTACTGTGCGCTCCAGAATATTTAAATTTTAAATTTTAGAAATAAATTCTTAAAAGGAATGCTTTCAAAAACCTCATCATCGCTCTCCTCTTCCTCCTCCGACGAGGAGCCGTTGGCTTTCTCCCAAACTGAAAATGAAATGTTTAATGGCATTCAGATTGATGTTTTTTTTAAAGGAAATTCTCCACTCCTAGATAAGAAAAGCTTTAAATTTAAAGATTTTGATCATCTCGCAAAGGTGCCGTTCTCAGAATGGTTAATTTTTTTTTTTTGATAATTTTCGCCAAGTCTTAACCCCCTTGAAGACTAGACAAATCGCTGAAATGTGTGAAAATTTTCTTAACGATTTGGGGGAATTTGGGTGTAATTTGCATGCTCCCCATCAAAATCTCGATCATTTCTCAGGGATTTGGCTTTCTTTATCACAAAATCAACGAAATGTGTCAGCTGTTGGGTGGAAAGTGATCGAAAATGACGAAGAGAAAGAGAATGTGAGTGAAAGTTTGAGGTAAAAAATGAAAGAGAAGCCGTTTTTTGGACTCTAAAGAAAAAAAGAAGGATAAAGGGGAGACGAGGTAAACAATGTGGGGGCGGAGGAAATGAAAATCGATTCGATAAGTATTTTTGCTTGCAAATAAAAGCGAAATCTGTATCAGGGCTTGCCCAGGGAAATCTTATGCACCATTTCAGTCATTTTTGAAAAAGCGCCAAGCCAAGTCAGGTCAAAAACAACGAAGCTTGGGGACTCGAACCCGTGATAGTCAGATTAAGAGCCTGGTGCTCTACCGACTGAGCTAAACGGGCTAACGGAAACCAGCAGAATAAAGGGTCTCTTGAAAGTCAGTTGAAAAACCATTTGGAAAAAAGAGTGGAGTCCAATGAGGGGCTCGAACCCGCGATACTCAGATTAAGAGTCCGGTGCTCTACCGACTGAGCTAACCGGGCTAATGGTGGCCAGCCGAATAAAGGGTCCCTTAAAGAGTCAGTCAAAAACATTTGAAGAAAAAAAGTAAGCCCGATCCGGGGCTCGAACCCGCGACAGCCAGATTAAGAGTCTGGTGCTCTACCGACTGAGCTAACCGAGCTGATGGACAGGGCCTGAATAAAGAGACTCTTAGAGACTCAAGGTTACTCAACATTGACTTTTTGAACAATATCGCAACTGCAAGATAACTTTGTAACTTTGTAAAATTTGAAATCTTTGAATAAGATTCTCTTTATTCAACAATCAGGTTTATATTTGCTTTAAACGCAAAAAAAGTCTACTATTTGAGCAAGAGCAAGCGATAAAGTGGATAATTTTTGCAACTTATTTACGGGAATGTTCAATTATTCGGTATTCGGCTCTTAACTCCAGTCCCGTAGCTGGAATTTGGATCTTTTTGCAGAATATTCCAAGCTGGATGTCATTCTATGGGGTTACGGTATAAAAACGGCATTTTATATATTTTTGAAATATCCAGAGTGTAGAATGGAGATTCAAGGGTTACTAGACTAAAATTAGCAAATATTTCTAAAGATTCTTCTAATCTGGATGTCACGCTATGGGATTACGGTATAAAAACGGCATTTTAGATATTATTGGAATCGAATGAATGATAGCTGAGGGTTTTCTGGGTTACTGTAGCTAAAGTTAGCGTATATTTTGAATGATTCTTTCAATCTGGATGTCACACTATTGGATTACGGTATAAAAACGGCATTTCAGATATTTTTGGAATAGAGTATAGAATGAATGATAGCTGGGGGTTTTCTGGGCTGCTAGGCTAAAATTAGCTAATATTTCTAAAGATTCTTCTAATCTGGATGTCACTCTATTGGATTACGATCAAACACGACACAATTCACGACAAAAACGAGCACGTCCATAGGACTCTCACGGAACTCATTGAGTATTGTAAAAATGAACCCACCCTCAGCTGGCATAATTGAATATGGCTCAAGCGTTGAATCTAGTGCAGAAATGAGATTGAATAGGCAGGGTGAGTTCCAGATCGGCGAGAGATCGAGAGAAAATCGAGAAAAGATCGAGGGGTGAGGAGGGTTTGGCCTGAAGGGGATGAAGAGGAGCTAGATTTGTAACCCTTTGCTTTTTCCGCCTTTCCCTTGCTCCCTCCTCATTTTTGAGTCCCAATACATGACAACAGAGATTCGGCTTTCTCTTTCAAAAGGTGCTTAGACCCCAAATAACCTCCAGAGCACACATTGTAAATTGAGAGGCACTGGAGGAGAGAGGAGGTCAAAAAAAAGTTTTCAATTTGTTTTTAAAAATGACACTTAAAAAGCTATTCAGTTATTTGGGTGCGTTCCAAGATTGGGCTTGGAAACGGTTTTTGAATTATTTTGACCATTGTACTGGTCAAAATACAGGTCAAACTATCCTAGAGTCACATTGTAAATCAAGCACTTTTCAGATGTGCTGTTTTCTATTCAAAAAGCTATTCAGCTATCCGTGTGAGTTCCAGGATTGGTCTTGGAATCGTTTTTGAATCATTTTCATCATTGTATTGAACTTAAAAACCATCCTTCAGTCACACTGTAAATCAAGAACTTTCTAGATGTGCTCTTTTCTATTCAAAAAGCTATTCAGCTATCCGTGTGAGTTCCAGGATACAATTTGAACCATTGTATTCATTAGTAAAGTGCAAGCTTTAGAGAAAAAATTATAGTAATCTTATTTTCCACAGTCATAATTGAAAAACTTTTCAAAAGTTTTGATAAAATAAAAATAAACACGCAAAAATAGAATGTTTGACGGTAGATTTTCATCGAAAATCTCAAAAATTCACTCAAAAACAGAGCAAGCGTTGTACCCAAAATCAAAACGAAAATCAAAATTCTAAAAATCACAAATTGTAAGTAGATTCACAGTGAGAACCCACATTTCATCTCCCGCTACAAAATGAGAAAAAAAATGAGTGAGAGTGACTTTCTTGTCTTGAGACATGGACGGCACAAACGGCAACGCACACTTCAAGACGTGGGCGGAAGGCGTCAACTGTGACACGCAAGTAGGCAACATCCAGCTCGTCCCAGGCTTTAAGGAGCGCTTTCTTTAACGAATCAACTGTTCGATGTGATTTCGCACTTCGCTTTAGCTTCTAGACACAGAAATTCCCATTTGGCGTGACATGAGCCGGATTGATTGTTGAAGGTCACGAATTTTACGGTCATAAAAGTTTGTGCTTTTTTGAGCTGACATTTCTCAGCGGATCCACAACAGATGTGGCTCGAATTTTAAAATGATTTTATTTCATACTCCTACGATATAATATCAAAAAAGAAATAAAAGAAATCTATCATGAAATGAAAATTTACGGGTATGACAAAGTGTCGGACATTTCATAAATGACAATCTAATAAAAAATTCGGTACAAAAGACGCTACAACATTAGACCCAAACAAGCACATATTTGGAAGAAAGTTGAAATTATTTCAAAGCTCAAACAGCAAACATTTCTTTAGATTAAAGTTTTTACAAGTATTAGGTTGAGGAGAACCGAAAATCGAAATCCATAAGACCGGGTATGCGGTTCCCCAAATCTTTGTGCCAATCATGAAAAGCTGTGCATATTTGATTATGATCGTCAAATATATCATTCAGTTGTTCGCTTTAGTTGTTCGCTATTTTGTTGCAATCTCCTCTATATTTGTTTCTCTCAGCATGCATCGCAATTCTTCTCAGTCATGAAAGGCCCTGGGACTCTGGCATGCATCTTCGCGGAAACAGTTTGGTTGCCTGCTATGCCAACTCGGACGTTGGGGTACGTTTAATCAAGCCTATGACAATGACAAGTTCTTCCTTTGACGTAGTAACGTTTGCGTTTTCCTTTTTTGTCTGATTTTCCCGTCGTTTTGCTTTTTTCCCATCAGAATCATTCAGTTTGCCTCATTTCCATTTCAAGAAATAACAATAACATAACATCGATCTGGTCGCTCTTCCCCCACTCTGATAAGCCACACTTTGAACTTTATTTTTTGAATCTTCATTTTGCGAGACCTTGATAAGTTTGTGTTTTTTGCTTTTAGAGCTCTGTCATTGAACGGAAAACAGTGGATGATTTAGATTGGCATGGGAGGGGGAGGAGAGTTTCATCGGATTTTCACAACGAAAGTTATTACTCTTTTCGACCTTTTATTATCATTTATTAAGGAAGTGCTAAAGTACCAAAGGTCTAAACTGAGCCTCAATTAATCTTTCAAAGAAGCGACGTTGCCTAACTCAAGCATTTCCCCAGTAAAATCTTCTCTTGCCTTAAACGAATGTATCCAATCGTGTGCCCGGTGTTGATCCTCAGCACCCACGACGTTTTCCTCGCTGATTTCCCCATCATCGGCCATCATCCGATCGGCAGTCTCCATCGCAAAAGTGCTTCGATGGCAGCAAGGGATTTGAAGCTATTTTAAGCTGCTTTTGTGCTTGTCCGTTTACAATTATAGTCAATTCAAATAAATTTAGCGCTCGAAACTTTGTGCTGGAACGCAAAACAAGCTTTGCGGCTAAATTTTCCTTTTTGAAGAATTCTTCGCCCCGTTCAGGTTAAATACCCGAAAATCTTCGCCGCCCGCAGCTTCAACACCCCAGCGTCTTTTCAATTCTGCTGATAAACCTAACCTTACCTACGAGATAGTGCACTAAAGGTTATTTTGTGGATGAATGGAATGAAGCTTTCTGAAAATTGGAACCACAAAATATGGTTTTGTGTACATTCTACCGTAGACCTTTTGATGGCGAGTTCTAAAACGCGCCCCTTTCGTGTATTTACGGAGACTTTTCGCGATAAATTTCATTCTGGTCAAGTCGTTTAGCATGTGTAGGTACCGTAAATGCTGTAATAGTGCCCATGCCTCTAGTGCCCTAAGGGTAGACTTGCTTATCGATTTTACGGATACAAACGGCATGCTAATGTTTGAACGTTCAGATTTCTGTTTCTAGAACAGCTGTCAACTTTCACTCATTGTAATGGCTGCGGTACCATTGCAATATTTACGATAGCTAGTAGTATTAGTATTTTGCTCAGGGGTTTTTCGTTTCTTATTTAGGGTGTTATCTCTGCTGTAATTTTTCATTTAGGGGAGATGTCGGACAAACCGGAGAGCAGCAAGACTCGACTCGAAGAGTAAGTAGAATGACCTTAAACAGTGAAATTTTCAAATTCAGGCATCTCATCCAGCCATTGTTCCAAAAGGATTTCTTGTCAGAGTTGCCAGAGGAGGTTTGTCTTTTGTTAAAGCTTGTGGGATTAATTGTTTATTTTTAGGTTGCTTATCGCATCATCGCCTATTTGACACCGTGCGATTTGACGGTTTGTGCTGGCGTTTCGCGGACGTGGCAGCGAATTTGTGAAGATGAATGGACCTGGCGACAGAAATGTTGGGAGAAAGGATATGTGAAATTTGATGCCCCAAGGTGTGTTACAGTTTTGATCAAATAATAGAACATTTAAAAATACATATCTGATAGATTTATATTAAACTAGATCTGACACTTCTAAGGTATAGGAAGATACTGTGATTAATTACAAAGCAAATAAAGATGTTCGTCACAGGCTTGTCACTAACTTCTTGTTGTTCAGTTTTTGTTTTCTCGGAGGTTGGGCGAGGAATCGAGCAAATGAGCGAGCGGGAATCACAATCTTTTCACATATGGACTTTCATGAAGCACATCAGAATCGACGGGAACGCGAGATCGCATATGGACAGTTAGTGCCGCGACTTGTTGAAATTTTGAAAAAAAAAATGAAATTTTTCTAGATGTTATGAGCGATCGTCGTGGAAGTCACTGTACTTGCGGAAAAAGCGAATCATTTCCAATTGGCGATCCCGACCGATTCAATCAAGCACTGTTTTAAAGGTTTGGACAAATGCTTTGGTTATAAAAATGGTTTTTAGGACCGCGATGAACATGTGGTCACTTGTCTACAAATTCACTCTGGTCGTATCGTAGCTGGTTATCATCATGCGTTGCGGGTTTGGAATGTTGATGATGCTCAAGTTTGTTTCGTTTTGCCATTATTGTACGTCTTAATTTAGCCTGTTTTCACTGTAACTGGCCAGATGGGTGTTGTTAAGACGTCTCAAGTGAGCGATGATGGCAAATACATTGTCAGGTTAGTTAATAGGCTCTAGTTAGTGCAATTGATCAGTGTTGCCAAAGAAGCTAACAATTTTCTAGACAAAAATACTTATGAGAACGAAGTCTATTAAAATATTTAAGTGGCTCATCTGATAAAATGGTGCGCGTTTGGTGTGGTCAAACTGGTGCACAGCTTCATGTTCTGCAGGGGCATACGAGGGAAGTGTGGTGCATGAGTCTACATGGTACAACGTGAGTTTTCTAACTTTTGTGCTTTAGCTAAAATGATAATGTTTTAGTCTTGTTTCTGGATCGTGCGATGAAACGCTCCGAGTCTGGGACATTGTCGACGGGAAATGCCTTCACATTTTGACTGGACATTTTGGGCTTGTATTTGTATTGAAGTTATAGCGTAAGCAAAGTTAAATTCCAGGCTTGGTGTGTTCAATTTGATGGAATTCGGGTTGTGGTTCCTGCTGGTGATTTTACTGTAAAGGTTTGTAATGCTTGTTTGTTCAATTTTATAGTATTCTATAAGGTTTGGAATGTGCAGACGGGGGAGTGTTTGCACACGCTGACGGGTCACACCGATTCTGTCGAATCACTTTTGGTGGGTTGAAGTCTCAATTTTTGGCTTTAATCAGGATTCTGTTTTAGTTTGACCCAGAGCGCGATCTTGTGGTGTCGGGTAGTCTTGACGGAACGATTCGCGTCTGGGATATACGAGGAGGAAGTGGGTTTTATTTGTTCGCTATTCTGTTGCAATATCATTTATGTTTGTTTCTTTCAGCATGCATCGCAATTTTTCTCAGTGAGGGAATAGCCTGGGGCTCTGGCATGCAACTTCGTGGAAACATTTTGGTCGGCTGCTATGCCAACTCGAACGTCGGGGTATGTCTAATCAAGCCTAGGACAACTACTTCCTTTTCTTTAGGTTTGGGACATTCGTGACGGTGGTTCATGCATTCATCGCTTACAAGGCCTAAATGGTCACACGTCGCCCATCACTTCATTTCAATGGCTCGACTCGGGACTTTTGGTAACAGCTTGTTACGATGGCTTGGTCAAGCTGTGGGATGTGGATAAAGGTAAGTTGTTCTAAATTACCTGGTAAAGTGGGCTATAAGATAAGCAAATTTATCCAGATTTCAAGTTTTGTTCTAAAGTAGAATTTATTAACTACATAGCTTGGCTCGTTAACTATTCAAGCTTTAATTTATGTTGAATACTAAACTATTCTATTGTTAATTTTTTTCCAATTTCAGGTATTTTCGTTCGTGACCTCGTTCGTCTTGAATCTGGTGGTGGCATTTGGCGTCTCAGAGCCGCCGAAACATTACTCGTCTGTGCAGTTAAATCGCAAAAGGGATTCGCGGACAGAAAGCTCATCTTGATCGATTTTGATGCATCGTATCCATAGGTACATTCGTATTTTTGCTCTTTCCCCTTGAGTCTTATTGTGATTTTCTGAAGAATTTTTTTCGGCTTTCAATTCTTCTGAGTCTTGTTTTTTTTAGATTTTTTCTGAGATTACTCTATTCGTTAGCGCTTGTCATTTCGTTTCAAATCTTTTCCACATTTTACACACTTGTATGCCAAAGACTTCATATTGTTAACCTTTTTTTCCTTTAACCTGCTTTTATTTGCTGACAACTATATGGCAAGATAAATGGCTTAAATTGCTCACAAATAAAAGCAAACAATTATTCTCGTATCAAGGGTCATTTCCTTTTTCTGTTGAGAGTTTTCTTGTGTGATTGTTTCCAGAGCTGTTTGTGTTGCTTTCAATTGTGTCTTTTTTTTCGGTAACTATATGGCAAGATAAATGGCTTAAATTGCTCACAAATAAAAGCAAACAGTCTAAACTTTTAAACCTTTTTTTATAAAGAGTAAAAAGGCGAATCGGTGACGCAAAAATGATTCTCTTTGGGGTTTTTATAGGTAGCTAAATCTGTTTTCTGATTGAAAACAGTGAGAACTAAAATTGTGAAGTGGAAAACTGAAAAAAAGGTTGCTTAGAAGTTGGAATTTTGATTTTTTATAGTGATTTTCAAAAAGACACCGTTTTCGTGTATCTAAAGAGACTTTGCGATAAATTCAATTCTTTTAGTAGGCTTATATACCGTAAATACCCTAATAGTAACCCATCCCTCTAGTGCGCTATGGGTAGACTAGCTTATCGATTTTATCGATACAAACGATGCTAATGTTTGAACGTTCCGATCTCTGTTTCTAGAACAGCTCTCAATCTGAGAATTGTTTCATTGGGAAGTCAAGAATGTCAGCTTTTGATTGCTGTTTTATACATGGCGACTTTTAATGAGTAGGCACCTCATAAACCTTTTCACGCACTCACCTATGAGAATTTGCTCTGTGTGAAATAGCAATCAAAAGCTGATATTCTTGGCTTTCCAATGAAATAGGTTTATAGACCGTAAATACCCTAATAGTAACCCATCCCTCTAGTACTTTACGGGTAGACTAGCTTATTGATAAGCCTTTTAAGGCACTCACCTATGTGAATTTCCTATGTTTGAAATAGCAATCAAAAGCTGACATTCTTGGCTTACCAAGGAAATAAGTTTATAGCTCTACAAGAAACCGAGATCTGAAGGCTCAAACATGAACTTACTGTTTGTATCGATAGCCTCGTGATGCAAGTCTACCCACGAGACGGGTACTATCACAGTATTTACGGTAGCTAGTAGTAGTATTAGGGTGAACCAAAAGCTTTCCATTTTTTTTCCTTTTAAGTTTGAACAATTTTTTGAAGCTAACAAATTCGTTTAATATATACGTCCCATATCTATTTTGTAGCATTTGATCTGCTCTTTCATATTTGCGAATCCGATCGCTCTTTTCAAATTACGACCACTCTTTTCTTCCCAAATCTGCAATCAGTCTTTTAATATCGGAATTTTTGAATGAACAATACCTTTTGATGATTTAACGGATAGAGAACACTTGTTAGACGATTTAATGACATCACCACGGATAACATGCAGTGACCGGTTCGGAAAAGCTGAAAAGTTTCGTGTGATCTTTTTATTGGTTTTTTGAGACCTGCAAAAAGATCTGCAAGATTGTCCTTCCGGGGGGCGATGATTGAAGGAGGGGATTCATTTGGAAAAATGGAAACGATGCCAAGTCGATGACGCCTGGAAAAATAGCTTGGAGGGTTTAGGGGTTCTTTTAGAAACTATTTCATTTCTACTTTCCACAATAACAATTCCCTTCCCTCGTTCAGCCAACTGCAGTTTAACTAACTGCCGACATCGTTAGATAGGATTAGAAAGAAAAAAGAAAAACTTAAATTTACTACCAAATCAAAAGCAAAAGCAAAAGTTATAAAAACACAAACCAATAACGAGAAAAATTCGAAAAAATGACGAGTCGAAGTGTCGATTCTTGCTTCTCCAAATCGTCACCACGACGCATATGTAGAGAAAAAACGAAAAATAACTATAGAAATCTTGCCATAAAACCATTCTTCATAGCAAAAGCTTTCAGCAAAAGACAACTCTTCATTGGAAATTTTTTTCAAAATCTCAATTACTTCTAATTGCTCAGATTTTCGGATGACATTAAAAAGTCGAGGGATCGTTTTTCCAAACAAAATACAGAACAAAATACAGAACTTTGTGCCATTTTTTTCGTGTATTTTTGCCCTTTTAGTGTTTAGAATATCAAAGTTTGCAGGTGAAAACGTTGAAAACGAAAACGAGTTATCCGTAGTTAAACCTTTTCTCAATCAAAAAGCAATTTTTTTGAATCTAGGGTTTTTTTGATGCCCTCTTTTCAATAAAAAAAGAAAGAATTCAAGCAGTGCTGCTAACTTAAGAAAATGCGCTTCTAAACATTTCTTGGGTGAACGTATTGATGTGAATCTGTACTTTAAATATCTAGAGATGGAACTGAAAAGCGTCACTGCAATTTTAACTGGTTTGACCCATGGGCAACAATGCAATCGATCAATAAAGCTTCAAAGTTTTCTTCAGATAGAGATTGTGCTTTAGTTCAGGTAGATTTGAGTAGCTTAAACTGATTTCATTACAGGATCAAGGTTGTTTCAAGCCCAAGTCGAGAGCCAGGTCCTGGCTTCTCTGTCGGACACACTCAATCCTTGAGTAGATCTGGGCCTGGGCCTTTCTGGCCGGTTCTGACCTGACTTGAATTACCGTACCCAGAGCTATTTCAAGGTGTTTTAGGCTATTTTCAGGTGCTTTTGTGCTTCATTTACAATTATAGTTAATTCAAATAAATTTAGTGCTCAAAACTTTGCGGCTAAATGTGACGAATGAAAAAAACTTCGCGCGTTCAGGTTAAATACCCGTAAATCTTCGCCGCCCGCAGCTTCAACACCCCAGCGTCTTTTCAATCCTGCTGATAAGCCTAACCTTATCTACGAGATGGTGCACTAAAGGTTATTTTGTGGGTGAATGGAATAGAGCTTTCTGAAAATTGGAACCACAAAATATGGTTTTGTGTACATTCTACCGTAGGCCTTTTGATGGCGGGTTCGAAAACGCGCCCCTTTCATGTATTTAAGGAGACTTTTTGCGATAAATTTCATTCTGGTCAAGTCGTTTAGCATGTGTATGTCCCATGAATACTGTAATAGTGCCCCATCGCTCTAGTGCCCTAAGGGTAGACCTGCTTATCGATTTTATGGATACAAACGGCATGCTAATGTTTGAACGTTCAGATCTCTGTTTCTAGAACAGTTATCAACTTATTGCATTGGAAAGCTTTCATTCATTGTAATGGCTGCGGTACCATTACAATATTTACGGTAGCTAGTAATAGTAGGATTTTGCTCAGGGGTTTTTCGTTTTGTTATTTACGGTGTTACCTCTGCTATAATTTTTTATTTAGGGAAGATGTCGGACAAGCCGGAGAGCAGCAAGACTCAACTCGAAGAGTAAAGAGAATGACCTTAAACAGTCAAAATTTAAAACATTTAAAAATACATATCGGGTAGATTGATATTAAACTGGGTCTTACACTTCTAAGGTATAGGATGATACTGTTACTGATTCAATAATGTGATTATTCTGCAGCAAAGAAAGCTTTAAAGCGAAAGAAAACAAATGATAATGTTTGTTTTAAGAACAAGAGTTTTAGGAACAAGTGTTTTTCACGTTTAAGAATACGATTAGAAAAAGCCTCGTCGCTAACTTATTTTTGTTCAGTTTCCGTTTTCTCGGCGGCTGGGCGACGAATCGAGCAAATGAGCAAGCGGGAATCAAAATCTTCTCACATATGAACCTCCAAGAAGCACATCAGAATCGACGAGAACGCGAGATCGCATATGGACAGTTAGTGACGCAACTTGTTGTTGACTTAAAATTTTTCTAAATGCTATGAGCGATCGTCATGGAAGTCGTTGTACTTGCGGAAGCAGCGAATCATTTCCAATTGGCGATCCCGACCGATTCAATCAAGCACTGTTCTAAAAGTTTGGACAAATGTTTTGGCTATAAGAATTGTTTTTGAGGGTCACGATCAACATGCGATGAATTATCTACAAGTTCAGTCTGGTCGTATCGTTACTTTTTATCATGATAATATGTTTGGTTTGGTTTGCGGTTTTGGATTTGGTTTGCGGATTTGGAATGTTGATGATGCTCAAGTTTGTTTCGTTTTATCATTATTGTACGTCTTAATTTAGCCGGCTCTCACTCTAACTGGCCATATGGGTTTTGTTAGGACGTCTGAAGTGAGCGATGATGGTAAATACATTGTCAGGTTAGATAATAGATTTTAGCTAGTGCCATTGATACGGGTTGCCAATGAATGCTAACAATGCCAATGCTAACAAATAGACTAGACAAAAATACTTATGAGAACAAAGTCTATTGCAATATTTAAGTGGCTCGTGTGATCAAACCGTGCGCGTTTGGTGTGGTGAAACCGGTGCACAGCGTCATGTTTTGCAGGGTCATACGAGTACTGTTTGTTGCATGAGTCTACATGGCACAACGTGAGTGATCTAAATTGTGTGCTTTAGCTAAAAGCATAATGTTTTAGTCTTGTTTCTGGATCGCGCGATCAAACGCTCAAAGTTAGAGCCTTAGCAAAGGGAAATTTCAGGTGGGTTGTGTACAATTTGATGGAAAACGGGTTGTGTCAGGTGCCGATGATTCTACTGTAAAAGTTTGTAATGCTTTTTTGTTCAATTTTATAGTATTCTATAAGGTTTGGAATGTGCAGACAGGGGAGTGTTTGCACACGCTGACAGGTCACACGGGTCCAGTCGATTCACTTTTGGTGGGTTGAATTGTCAATTTTTGGCTTTAATCAGGATTCTATTTTAGTTTGAGCCAGAGCGCGATCTTGTTGTCTCGAGAAGTCTTGATAGAACGATTCGCGTCTGGGATATACGTGGAGGAAGTGGGTTTTATTTGTTCGCTTTTC